TTTTATATTTTTGTAGTTCCAACTTTCACCGCTAGATGGACGCCAATTTTTTAGTCCATAAAATGGGCTATTTTTCTATTTTCTTTAATAACGGTCCTAGCAGGCTATAATTAGATTCGTTCGATTCCGTTGGCGACAAGGAACAATTTGTATATCTCAGAATTTCGGAAAAGTCCCTAGTTTTCGAGAAAATCGAGATTTTCTATTTTTGTAGTTCCAACTTTCACCGCTAGATGGACGGCAATTTTTTGGTCCATGAAATGGGCTATTTTTCTAATTTCCTTAATAAGGGTCCTAGAGGGCTATGAAAGCACTCATTCGATTCCGTAGGCGACAAGGAACAATTCGTATATCTCAGAATTTCGGAAAAGTCCCTAGTTTTCGAGAAAATCGAGATTTTAGGTTTTCGTAGTTCCGCCGCTCGCCGCTAGATGGCGCCACCTGTACCGTTTTGGACCGAATTCGACAAAAATTGATTTTCTGGCTTTATTAGGCATCAAAACGCATCAAACCCTAATAGAAATTTGTTTCTAAATGCCTCAGGAACCATACTACGTCGTCAAAGTGCCGAAATATTCATATTTTTATTTTCCTCATATGCGTGTTCGGACCCTCATTCTTTAGGATCAGTTTTTTCGGTGATTATTCCTCCGTCGCAAGTCCGATTTAAAATTTGTTTTTCTATGTCCATCTGGATGTACGTACGCATGTACGTGCAAAATTTGACGGGAATTGGTTGAGTGGTGCAAAAGAAAAACGCGGACAAAGGAGTTGCAAAGTGAAGTATAAGAGCTTCGCTCGCTCGCTCAATAAATATTTAATTGAATATTGAAACAGAATCTGATTGTTTAATATGTTTTGTTTAGGTGGTTATTATACCAGCTGGTGTTCCACGTAAACCTGGTATGACAAGAGATGATCTCTTCAACACAAATGCTTCAATAGTGAGAGATCTTGCACAAGCTGTGGCAGAAGTATCCCCAAAAGCTTTAATTGCTATTATTTCAAACCCTGTCAATAGCACTGTACCTATTGCCAGTGAAGTATTAAAAAAAGCTGGTGTCTATGATCCTAACAGAGTATTTGGTGTTACCACGCTGGATATTGTTAGAGCACGTACATTTATTGCAGAAGCAAAAGTTAGTACAAAATATAAATGAACTAAACTATATGTATTACAACAGAATTTTAAAAACATATTTGTTTTAATGCATATTGTAAAAATTAAAAATTTCTGTTACATGGTATACTTTTATAATAAATATTTGGTACTCTTCTTCTAGGGCCTAGACCCACAGAAAGTAACAATACCAGTGATTGGAGGTCACAGTGGTATTACCATTATTCCATTGATCTCTCAATGCAAACCATCAGTATCTTTTCCAGAAGATCAGTTGAAAGCTCTGACTACCAGAATTCAGGAAGCTGGTACAGAGGTTGTTAAAGCAAAAGCAGGTACAGGATCTGCAACTCTCTCGATGGCCTATGCGGGTGCTCGCTTCGGTTTGTCACTGATTAGAGCGCTGAACGGAGAACAGGGTATCGTAGAGTGTACTTTTGTGAAATCAAGCGTCACGGATGCCTCCTACTTCTCGACACCTGTTCTCTTAGGCGTAAGTAAAATCTTCAAATCATGTAACCTGCGATCATGTACGAAATGTTATTAAATTCCTATTTGACTTTAGAAAGGGGGACTCGAAAAGAATCTTGGCCTTGGTACTCTCAATGATTTCGAGAAAAAATTGTTGGATGCAGCTCTTCCGGAGTTGAAGAAGAACATTAAAAAGGGTGAAGACTTCGTAAACAAAAAATGAACGTAACGAATCAGAGATCGAAGTAGGGCGTGCTCAAATAAAATCAAGAGAGGCTCGATGATCCGTACTGAATACAATAATATTCGCGTTGTACGCGAACAAGAAATGCATTAAAAAAAAAGGTGGATCCTTATACATACCAATTAGATACTTATATTTATCGTATGTACTTGTTAGATGATTTAAGATGAGTTTAAAACTCGTTTGTAAGTAACATCGTGTAGCTAAGAAGTATATCAATTTACAAAATTGAGGAAATTTTATTACCTTAAAAGAAATACTCGTATTTGAACGTAATATTTAGCGCAGTTAAAAAAAAATAAACGTTCTTTCAGTAAAAAAAAATTTTCTTTTTTTATTACACACTTTTCTTTGTTATTGTTCCTATTATATCCAGATTTATTTAAAATCATTGTAAATGTATCATAGTATAAACCCAAACCAGTAAGTATTATTTACTTCGCAGATGACACCATTGGTTGCCAAATATTTCGCTAGTGCACTGCCCCCTTTCATCAGGATCAAAACAAATAAGCGTTCGAAGATAATGTCAGTAGTTAGTACAATGTCAACCATGTGTTTAATAAGTACAACGGTTCCAGTCTAGTCGTTTAACATCCTATTGATTTAAGATCGTGTAATGTTCATTTTATCAATTTATTCTATCAATTTATTCGCTTAGTAACCGTGCAGGTGACATGATTTTACCTTCAATATGCTGATTCTCTTATCGTCTTTGATCCACGAATTCGATGTCTATGGGAAAAGTTACAATGGCCAAGCGCAAGGCATCTAAACGACTTAGATGCACACAACCCTTGCATCAATCGCAAGAGACGCTGCTGCAGAAATCTGAATCTTCCGAAAGGATCGACAGCGTAGAAAACAAAGATACTCCTTCGGAGAAGAAAAGAGGTTCGTTTGAGCATTTGTTACAGCAACGTTCCCCAGAATCTGTGCTATTCGAATCACCGCAACTAGAATTGTCCTGTTACGATGACCTCAGTCCAGAAATCGTAACCAGACTACGACGATCAAAACTAGACCCGAATGACTCGGGCAAGAACAGCAACGGACAAGATGAATCGCAACAGAGGATCGAATCGCATGAAATTAAATCGAATAATTCGTCGGAAGAGAAAATCGAAAGATCTCCGGGAAAATGTTTCTCAATGGATAAGACCATGTCGATAAATGATAGAATCAAGCTGGAAATGAATGAATGCCAATCAACGCGAGAAATCAAATCCTCCAAAGAAATTTATACATATGACACTGATCTATGTTCTTCAAAATTGATCTACGAACTGCCTTGTGGCTACGTCTCGGAACCCGCTCAATTTGGTACCTTTAATTCCGCGTTAGAGTCTCAGGCTCAAGAGTACGATTGTTTCGTTGACGAATTTCGTTCTGCGGTCTCCTCCTGTGAGGCTCAAGATCAATTGGAAAATGAAAACAAGAGAGAATGTTTTGAAAGTCTGAATAGACAAAACAGTGAAAGTAATAATAAATTTATTATAGTTAACGAGAAGGTTCGAGAAGATTCGCGTAATAGTGGTTTAGATAATTGGAGCGAGTGCAAAAGGATCTTTTCGAATCTACGACAATTGAACAGTATTAAGGTACGAACTAGTGCTCAAGAATATATCGCGAACTTTTTGCCAAAATGCAAAAAGAACGATCCGCCACGGTCGATGCAAATGTCCTCTCTGTCTTATCATACCCCTTCGTCGATAACGTCGAACGAAATCTCGAACGAGTTAACCAACAGACATGATTTGGAAGGAATTGATAAAACCAAGGATAAAAATTACGATCAACAAAGTTACGGGGAAATAAAGAGTAATATGACAAAAATTAGAGCACGTTCGACCACACCCTGCAGTGGTTCACCGCCTCCTGCTAAAAGATGTCGTACCACATTAAAGTTTGATGACGAAGAGGAAGTTGAGCAGTCCCGAAAACCTGTTGCCACCGTCGCAGTTACGGATCTATTACCAGTTGAAAAGAAAGATGAGCAAAGTTCTTTGTATCCCATTACGAAGACCCCTTGGCGCGGTTGCACACCAGATTCACCGACTGTCTCACTTGATTTACCGACCATTTCCGATTCTGGATGTAGTATATGTCTTCAAGAAGTAATTTTCTTTAGATTTAGTCTTGGCTTTTATTACTATTACTACAATATCATCATCTTATTATGTTGCTACAACTACGTTAAGATATTAATTATCATTTATTTGCAGTGCGAACGGGGAGTCAAGTATCCTAAAAAATGTACATGCACGACTTACAAACGAAACCCTAAACCATCGTCTCAATTCGTTAAGAAACCTATGGCAAAAATTATATTATTTTGCGTCTGGTTAATAAAAAAAGTAACAAGTGCATTCAAAAGAGTAAGTAGATACTTTTATCGAATATAACACACGCTCGTTATTCATTCGATAATTATTTCAGAGTTGCAAAAATTTAAGAGAAATCGTGTCGTTTTCTTCGACAAAGCGTCAAATGGATGAACTCAGTCAGGTGGTAATAATGTTGCGTTCAGAGAACGAACGGATGATTAACATGTTCCTGGAGAAAGTCACTTATTTGTCTGAGCAAATTTCTCAGGTACATGGTTTTGTCAGCTTGTTTCATATTAATATTTAGATCAAACTTAGTATTGTTTTTATTACAGATAAGCGCAAATAGCGTAACAGCTATTAGTACTTTGACTACTGAGGTCAATGGCATACAGGATGCCAATAATAAGCTCGCCGAAAGTAACGAGACACTAATACAAGAATTAAAAAAACTGCAGAACTCGTTGGAAAATATTCGAGCAATAAAGTCTCCTAAATTTTCACCTCCACATCCTCCTCCGGATCTACCCCCACAGCCAGTGATCTTAAAATCGACCTTGTTGACGGGTGGACCACCTCCGCTAGCCCCAGCACCGCCACCACCACCGCCACCGCCACCGCCACCGCCTCCACCTCCGCCACCACCGCCTCTACCACCTGTTCTTCCTACGCTTTCCCAGTCCCCAGCACAATCAATTACACCAACCACCCCCAGTAACAGTAGAAATGTTAGGACACCTTCCAGAAAGTGCTCGACACCGCTATTTAATAGGCCAGCTATTACTGTCGAGGATTTGTTGAAGGTGACTTTAAAGAAAGCACCTCAAAACATTAAGGTAATGCTGAGGATTCATTCTGGCTTAAGTCTTGCACCTTTCTTCTTCAATGTTTCTGTAAATGTAAAGGGTGAATATCGTGGAAAGTAGAAGAAGAAATTTTCTTTTAGCTGTATTAATCGTAGAACATTTTTGTTGTCGTATTTACCGTAATTTTTTGAACTTAAGCATAAAGACTCAAGGAGGAACAACTTCAACGCTTGGATAGTCGCTAAAGCGACACAATTTTCAGTATCGTTAAATTGTTTCTCAGCCTTCGTTGCCATTCAACCGGATACTTAGGGGGTTATTTAAAAACCTCAAGGTGATCGTGACTGGAAAATAATGCGCGTTAAAGAGAGTTCATTATGCTGCTCTCGTAAACCCCTGGAAATCTTTTAGACCAGGATAATATTGAGATTTTTTTATTACGCAAGACCGACCAATACCTGATTTTGTTTTTTGTTCGACTTTTTATATTTTAAAATTATTCATTCGATGTGTAACAATCTAATATCTGAATGTTGAATTTCAGGAGAATAGAAGAAATACCATACCAGGGCCAAGAGGACCCGTGGTTTCATTGGACATGTTACGTAGCGTGAAATTAAAGTCTGCCAGGCGCAGATCGAACGACCAAATCGTGAGATCTCCTAGAAGTGCTCGTATAATAAAAACTAGGACATCGAGCCTCAGTCTATCGCCGATAGGTACAGATAACTCGTTGGGACGAATCCTGAAACAGGTGGATCTTTACAGACGAGGACCTAGACGTCTATTGTCAAACACGTCGAGTTTTAACGGTATAATAAAAGATAATCATTTACAAAACGCGAACGCGAAAGATAACAGCTCGTAAGCTACAATTGTATAAACATAATTCGTTATTGATGAATGATTTTAGAAAGAATTTTAACCGAAGCGTGTAATTTTAATGGATTAAATTATCATTTTTCTCGAATTGATTGATTATTACGTGCAGGATTGAGTCACCTGATGCCTCGACGAATCTACCACCTGTTCTTCCTACGCTTTCCCAGTCCCCAGCACAATCAATTACACCAACCACCCCCAGTAACAGTAGAAATGTTAGGACACCTTCCAGAAAGTGCTCGACACCGCTATTTAATAGGCCAGCTATTACTGTCGAGGATTTGTTGAAGGTGACTTTAAAGAAAGCACCTCAAAACATTAAGGTAATGCTGAGGATTCATTCTGGCTTAAGTCTTGCACCTTTCTTCTTCAATGTTTCTGTAAATGTAAAGGGTGAATATCGTGGAAAGTAGAAGAAGAAATTTTCTTTTAGCTGTATTAATCGTAGAACATTTTTGTTGTCGTATTTACCGTAATTTTTTGAACTTAAGCATAAAGACTCAAGGAGGAACAACTTCAACGCTTGGATAGTCGCTAAAGCGACACAATTTTCAGTATCGTTAAATTGTTTCTCAGCCTTCGTTGCCATTCAACCGGATACTTAGGGGGTTATTTAAAAACCTCAAGGTGATCGTGACTGGAAAATAATGCGCGTTAAAGAGAGTTCATTATGCTGCTCTCGTAAACCCCTGGAAATCTTTTAGACCAGGATAATATTGAGATTTTTTTATTACGCAAGACCGACCAATACCTGATTTTGTTTTTTGTTCGACTTTTTATATTTTAAAATTATTCATTCGATGTGTAACAATCTAATATCTGAATGTTGAATTTCAGGAGAATAGAAGAAATACCATACCAGGGCCAAGAGGACCCGTGGTTTCATTGGACATGTTACGTAGCGTGAAATTAAAGTCTGCCAGGCGCAGATCGAACGACCAAATCGTGAGATCTCCTAGAAGTGCTCGTATAATAAAAACTAGGACATCGAGCCTCAGTCTATCGCCGATAGGTACAGATAACTCGTTGGGACGAATCCTGAAACAGGTGGATCTTTACAGACGAGGACCTAGACGTCTATTGTCAAACACGTCGAGTTTTAACGGTATAATAAAAGATAATCATTTACAAAACGCGAACGCGAAAGATAACAGCTCGTAAGCTACAATTGTATAAACATAATTCGTTATTGATGAATGATTTTAGAAAGAATTTTAACCGAAGCGTGTAATTTTAATGGATTAAATTATCATTTTTCTCGAATTGATTGATTATTACGTGCAGGATTGAGTCACCTGATGCCTCGACGAATAAACCAATTGAATTTGATATCTTCTTCGATTAAAATTGAAATTGAGACATGTAGATGGAGGTACATATTAATCGAATATTAGGCGATTTATTCCGGCACGTGACACTAATTGCAAAGATAACTTGACCTATTTCATTTCGATTCCTGATAATGATTACCGATATTCTTTATAACGCAATCTAAAGAAAACGAATAGAGAGTTGTAATTACTTTATTTATAGCTTTCACGTGTATGTTTGTGTTGGTGTATGTGTGTATATGTGTATGTGTGAAAGAGTCTATGTTTGCATTATGTGTGGTTTTACAGAAAAAGGTTGTTTCCGGTGTAATCGCATTGATTGTAATTAGTACAGAGCATAAGAATGCATATGAATTTTTCAAAATGAAAAAACAGATTTAGTCTCCTCCAAATGACGATAAATTTCGATAACCGTTGTCTAATTAATCGCTTTCGTAAATTGGGACTAGCGACAATATGGAATGATCTGAAGATAGTTACAGAGATACAACTAATGTTTATAATACAGAGATAAGAGCAAGTAGTACATCCAGAGATGGAAATAATAGATGTTGATTCTTTCTTCTTCCTCCAAATTCTCTTTCTCTATTTCATTTTATAAAAATGGACTAAGCACGCACAACGATACCGAATAAAAGAATAAAAAGCGGTCTCAACCGATACACCGATCATCTATTTTCTTTTTAATAACACTACGAGAAACTCATCAATGATCATTAGTGACTATCTATGATTTTATTTGTTCGGGAACACACTACGCTTCTGCTTTTTTGCCATTTAATAAGTCACACGCTATATCATCGACGAATAATGAATTGTTAACGCGTTGGGCTACTTCAATCTTGTATTTTTTGTTGTCATCGTGTAAGCAAGTAATTGGATTTGAGGTATCTCACAGTTTTATCGTCGTTTGGAATTCACTACACCGTTCATTACCATTGACAATTTTATTGTACCTAAATTTTTCTCTTTTTTTATGACTTGTCACTCTCTTACGCATGATATACGTGTTGGTACAATGCAAAACTCTTCTTAACCGATAGTTACGACTTTCTCTGACTCGTACTCCACTGTTCTTCCTCCATCGTTCTTGTTCATGATTCCATTTACACCTTCGTGCCCTCCATACTGTCTTCAACCGCTAATACGTTCGACGGTACGCTCTTAATAAACCGTTCTTCTTCTTGTTTTTCTTCATTATCGCATGAACAATTCTTGTTGTTGAATTTTCCCCCATACGTGGTTTACGCTCTTAAGATTACTCGCATATACTTACTTACGGTGCCGTTGATATTATTTTGCGTTATTTTCTTTATAACGTTATTTACGTAACATGATTATCAATTTGTATCGTTATTAATACCTAAATACAAGGGGAGGAGCACACGATGTACACCAAAATTTCTAGGCAGAGCTCAACTTCGCTTGGCGTGTTCTTCTTTTTGCGTATTTCTTTTCAGGTAGTTCACCTCGCTTTTTTGCTGCACGCTTATATAACGATTCTTCTCGTTCATCGTTATGGTCATCGGTCGCGAGGGAATTCATGATTTTAGACGGTATATTCGTTACACGTACACAATGATGGTCAAAAACTTATGGTATGATTAAACCCCTCAATGACACTTCTCTCCGTGCAATTGGGCGTACGATTTTACAAAGAGTTGCAGCGAACATAAATTTTTGACCGATACTAGACGCCTGAACACAATGAAAACGTACGCATCGTATTGTTAAGCTTGTTTCGTTAAATACGTGCAAAATAGATTGTGTTTAGACTAACGAACGTATACTCTGTCTATAGACAAAGTTCATTGGAATGTCTTTTTTAAGCGGAAATCGGCGGTACGGTTAATCGATAATAAGGTGAATGGACGCACGGCTAAAGATATCAGCTAAGATACAGTGGAATCGAGGACAGTGATAGCGAAAGTGAGCACGAGTAAAAAACGGAAAACAAAAATAAATGAACGTCGGGATACAATCGTTTATTCTGTAATTCGTAATACCACAGCGATCGTTATAGTTTATACACAAGGGGCATTATGAACCATTAAATACGGACTAGCTGGATAGCTACTTGTTTCCTATTTTAACGGTGAAACGTAACTTGTCGTTTTTAATGAAAAATGGAAAACGCTCGTCTATTTCAAAAATTTCTTTCCATCGAAAAGCTTACAGATTGAGTGAAAGAACATCTGTCACATTGAAAACCGATACTTCTTTTCTCACTCTGTTAGATTTCCTTTTTCTTTTTATTTACCCGAAAAGCCAGACTTCGATGTTATTGCATTTTTTTAAGTACGACGCTACCGTGGTAAGCGCATTCTCTTAATCGTTTAATCATTTTCGGTTAAAGTTCGTTCGTTGAACCGATTAAAAATATAATAAAAAATTTGACGCAAGATCGACAAAATGCCTTTTTGTCTTAGAAAATTTGTATCTACTTACAAAGGAATCGCTTGCGTTATAAGTATACACAAGAAGATTGAATTCGTGATACGATAGCTTGCCAATGAATGATCGAAATACTTTTGGCGAACCTCAGCTCGTAACTCGACTGGAAAAAGAGTTATTTTCTGCGGAAAAACTCATGCTCAGAATGATAGCGTATGAAATTACTTGTGTGTAACTAGACTTCATCAGAAGTACATTCATAATATCTTAGTAGGAAAAGAATAAAAAGGGGCAGAGATGAAAAGCGCGTGGCTTGTCCCCGACTCTGTTCACCGTGACCAACCCACGTTCTTTCACTCCGAAGAGACGCGTTTATCCCTTAGATAAACAGATGATTTACACTCGATTTACACGCATACATTAATAATCGTTATTTATCGTGGTATGCGAGAGCAATCATGCGCGCAGTAAAAAAGCGGGGAAGAGGACGAGGAGGAGAGATTGCGAAGGAGGGGCGGGTAAAAACAAACGAACACAATGCACTTCGATCGACGTCGAGCTATTTAGCATGTTTCGTTATTTTGAGACGCACGAGGACATATTATATTCGTTCTCACTCACTAAAATCAACAGAAATGAGGTTTTATCCCGACGGACTGGCGCATACTTTTTCCTTTTTCTTTCTTTCGTTACAATTATTAATTATTATTATTAATATGGATGATATACGCTGTCAGTCGGCGTCCACTCAACATTTTCGACATCGTCCACTGAATTTTGACCGGGCATGCACAGTGTTAAAAGACAGCATTTTCTCTTCTTGATACGCGAAGAAGGCAAAGATTAGTGCCTCTTTAAATGCTCTTTGCAGTCTCTTTCTATTATTATACCGCAGGGTGCGTGTCCTTTTGTTTATTATATATTTCTGCGCGCGCGCCGTATATAACTTAATGTGTGTTACCGAATGATAATTTTTTTAATATAATTTTTTGTTTGTTTGGAGTAACCGTACGTACGTGCGTGCTTAGGGTCACGCAATCACTAAAGATCTCCCCTTCCCACCCCGAACTGCCACCTGCTTGAATTGTTTTCTTTAGCTTACAAGTTATTAAGAGTTTTTGCTTTCTTGTGTCTCAGTTTTATATGCGCAGGATAACACTCACTACAGTTAGAGTTACGATACGTCCTGATCTTCTACGTCTTGCAACTGTTCCTTCTGTTCGCCCTCCCCTGTATCAGAAAAAAAGTCATCTAATTAATTAATATATTCCAATCATTTTCACTGCAATATCAATTAATTGGTTATAGATAATTTAAAGGATCAGGGACGAGGAAGGATAGATGGAATTGCTCACCAGGTGATTTTACGGATATAAGGGCGGATTAAAAATGCGTGTGTCTAGCTTCAAACGTTAGTAGGAACGGTCGCAGCCTCGCTCTCGTGATCAGTCTCAAATTCTAGAGGACGAAACAATGATTTCCCATCCGTTGCCGTGCAATTTCAACGAGAATATTCGTAGATTAATAATAACAAAATTGAACCGTCAACTATCTTTTAACGAAAAGATGATTTGTCAAAGGAATAACATTATTCTATCTACGCAAAATCTGATACAACGCAAAGATTTTATCACGCTACTGCAATACATATTATTGATCGCGCGACGCCGTTTCCACGGCCTAGTGGCGAACGTTTTAAAGGCAACTCGAGCACACATTTTCGCGAAGCTCTCGGCATCCGAGGTGTATGTATGTACTAACCGTCTCCTTGCATATCTGACGTCCAGAGAGTAAGATTGTCCCTAAGAAGCTGCATGATGAGGGTGGAATCTTTATAGCTTTCCTCGGATAAGGTGTCTAGTTCTGCGATCGCGTCGTCAAAGGCCGCTTTCGCTAGACGACACGCTCTGTCGGGGCTATTGAGAATCTCATAATAGAACACAGAGAAATTGAGCGCCAATCCCAAGCGAATAGGATGAGTCGGTGGTAAATCTGTCATAGCGGTATCACTCGCTGCTTTATAAGCTACAAGAGAGTTCTCCGCTGCTTCCTTCCTGTCGTTTCCGATTGCGAATTCGGCCAAGTAGCGATGGTAATCACCTTTCCTACAATGTATCAATATTAAGATTTTAGAAAACAGTCTATTTTTTTTTTTTTTTATTTTTAAACAACAACATTATTAACATTTATGACAACGTTAAATGCAACATGATTTCTTGAGAATTCATGAGAGTCGAACAAATTGCGTCCGTTTGTATCGAGTCAAATAGGTTGGCTGAAGTTTTAGAAAACGATACCTCGAAAATCAGTGACCGAAACGGAACGTTACTTCGTTGTGAGCAACGATACAATTTGATTCTCAGCTGTTTAGACAGAAAGTAACCCGTTACTTTAACAAAACCTCTTTCAAAGACGTTCTATCATTGCAATAAGAGTAACTTATAGTTGTTGTTTAGACAAATCGATCCGTAAAAACTTCTTACATTTTGTAATAGAAGACTTTAGACTCGCCAGTGGACGCGCAAGGTATCAGATGCTTATCCAAAACTCCAAGGATATCGGCGCAGATGTCTTTCAATTCTTTTTCGACTTGGGACCGGTACTGACGAATCATCTCCAGCTTCCCTTCGGCAGCCTTGTTCTCCTCCTTTTGCTCGATGCTCGAGATTATTCTCCAGGAGGCTCTCCTCGCACCGATCACGTTTTTATAAGCGACGGATAATAGATTCCTCTCCTCGACGGTCAGCTCCACGTCCAGCGAAGCGACCTTCTTCATCGCTTCGACCATTTCTGCAAATAACGTCGGCAAGCATCGCCGTCGACGAAAATGCCATTAAATTAAAAAATGTTTCAAAAAGAAAAAAAAGTATACGGGAAAATATTGTAAAATTACTTACAAGTTACAGTTCGTCATTTTTTAGACCAGTTGTTTACAAAACCATTAATCTAGTATAATTTAATCTTTTACAGTGTGAGACAATAGAGATGAAAAGTGAGAATATTATTATATTTTTAAAGAGATATGAAAACATACCATAGGATATTACAGGCAATTATGGTAAAGTAACGAATCGGAAATGATCTATTGATTATTAGTACCGTAGGCTATCCCGTGTGCGGATATATTATTAGTTTCATCTGAGAAGTTAAGAGAGCATCTGTATAAGACGAAGCGCACGGGCATATATTAACCTGCTGCCCCTTGAACTTTTCGAGGAAGTTGGTTACTATCGTGTATTTATTATCTATAGGTGTGTGTAACATTCAAGGAGAATGATGTATCGATCTATACACACACGCGGTACGTATATACATACGTACGTTATCTCTTTCATTATTGGTTGTACAATTTTCGAAAAAGTATGAAACTTTTTATGGAAACATTCTTTTCGCAATGCAATTAACATTATTGAAGAATTCAATCATTTTAATAACACTTCATCGATCTGTCATATTCTATTTCATTTATAAGACGACACGAAAATCTGTGGACCCACGGTTATAGGATCGATATAACCGAGCAACAAAGTTATTACGGCGGCGTAGAATAAAAGAGAGACAGATTAAAGATGATGGCGGGTATCTCGACCCTTCAAAACCAATACTTCCTGTATTTAAATAATTTTCAAATAGTTTGGTCCAAAATCTGTATCAAGTCGCGAAATGATTGAGTTATTAAAAACAACAGTATTCTGTTTAACCCATAATTAGTACATTACTTACTACTTACAAATTTTTGTAAGAAGCCATGAACCCCCATACTTTCTACCTAACAAAATGATCATCATTTTGGCGAATTAAATAATACAGATAAAAACATTTGAAAATCTGTTAATTAATTCATCAGCTCTGAACTATTTGATTATCGGGGATTGATATTTATCGTAGGGATAAAATCAACGAAGATTTAATGATGACATTTACGAGAAGATTAGTCTTCAAGTTCATGGTAGTTCCCGGCGAGAAATTATCACAAACGTGGTATATGGAGTGACACGGAGGTTATACACAGAAACGTAGGATAGCGAGTACAGATCAATACTTTCCTTCTGCTATAACCCCTCTTCTCCCTACTCCGCCTTTCATCACACCCCTGCCGTTCTCACCCTCTACTCGTAATCTCGCTCGCTCCATCTTCCTTCCTCTTTTACAACCCTCAAATTTGCCCACCGCCCTTCCTTCCTCTCATCCTGGGACGGTCATATCAGCTCCTCTCTCTTCTACTCCGTCATTCTTTACGCTTAGCACCCTGTTTTACTCGGACTGCCCAATATACATGCTTATCCGCATACTTTAATTCATGTAGAATATAGAAAAAAACAGTATTCGATTCTTTCCTTTGATACGTATATTTCTCGAAAGCAGAAAATGTAGTTTTTTAAACGACGTTCGCATGATACTACGCGAACTACTTCAGATATTTCTAGATGAGATAAGTTCTATCTTATGACCAACGCGCACGTATCGCTCGTTGAAATAAGCTCGTTTTCTCCGCGGCCGAGTTTTCGAAAACCGCGTGTAACCTATGAGCATACATATCCAACTAGAGTACAAAGTTATTCCTAGAGTTTAACTGTGAGTTACGAGCTACCAGTTACAGGAAATTTACAAGATTCACCTCGCTTCCGCAAATGTCAAACGCGTGAGTTTCATTTGCGGATCTGATAACGTCCCACGAGATTAGGCGCGATGCGTAAAAATATTCGCAGACAAAGATACGGAACGAGAGGTTCGGTAAAACGAAGAGATTTGACGGTTTCCCCCTTCTGTTGCCGTCGGGAACAGTCCCCACTACACGCGACTCGCTTTCGCCAACAGCAAAGTAAAAATTTCTACGATTGAATTTACAACGACGCGTACTACGTAATAAGGAGCAAGTTCGAGGAAACGCGACCGGAAATAAAATGTTGATTAATGTAGAACAATCAGCCGAAAACTCTATCGTTATATCGATAGATCGGATCGATCGACAAAATGATTTCTTTCTGTTTTTCAAGGCCGAATACCACGAGCAGAGCACGCGTTACTACGTGTCTAAGGAGTAAACCGGTAGCGATTGGTAAGTATCGTGCCGTGTCTATGCGTCACACGCGTCGGTGAAGGACCGACTTGTCTGGTTATCTGCTGTGGGGCCCCTAAAGTACCGAACAGCACGCCTAGCAACGCTGCCTCGGCGTTACCCAGCTTTCCATTCAACGACGTAACTCGAGAACGATGAAACACTTTTATGATCCTACGAATAAATCTTCGAAAAAGCTATTCACTGAACTATCGTGTATTATGGCAGGATTCGCGAAGCGATGACAAAGGTTACGAATCGATCCACCCTTTAGTAAAAAGATACCGGTCATGAACCGGCGACTCTGCTACCCACTGTGTAGATTAGTCATATTTGACGTTTCACGGACTTTTGACAGATCCATCAAGATTCGATGATGATTTAAGGTTCTCGATTCTCAGAGAAACTTGCTGTGTATCCAGCGAAATCGTACATTAGGATCGCCACGAGGGCGGTGCTACTTCCTTTCTCTTCGTAGCGATGCTTTGCGTCGATTTCGTGGGTTTCATTTTGGCGCAGGCCGGGTCCTTTCCCGGAAAATATGTACTCACCGTCATAGCGTTCCGCTTGCTCGGCCAATTTCGCTTTGTAAACGTTGTCCTCCCGTTCCGACATCTTGGATGCTCGTGGATTTCACGGGTAGATGAAAGGTTTCAGGGAAATCGCACGAAATACTCGTTTCACCGAAATACGTACACCTCGTCGTACAGCTACTCGCAAGCTCACTGACCAAGATGGCGGCGCCCGCCAACAATCGAAAGCAGTTCCCACTTCGCGCAGCCTCTGCAGACACTCCACTCGCCATGCGCTCCCGGCGTGTATTACTACGCGTGACGTCATCCGTTACCCGACGCTACGCGCATGTCGGTTAAATTCATCGAATATCCGGTCAAATTGTAGCGACAAAGGTATTGGCATATTTTCAGCGTTATTTTCTCGCTAATTACCATAAATGAGCAAGCTACACGATATATTTTGTCCGAATTCTCTAGGATTGAAAATACCAATTGAATTTGTCGATGCGCGATAACTAGACATAAGAAATCTAGAACGATTGAAGATTGATCAAATTATTCGAGTTAAAATATTTTTCTGGGTAGAAAGGAATTTTCGTATAGCAAAAAAATGTTACTTTTCATTCTTCGTGTGAGAAAAAAGAAAATTCATTTAGACGCGCCTGCAATAAGTGCAAACTAAAAAGAAATAGGATATTGCTCCGATGATTTCTACCACAGCGCGCGAGATATCAAATCAAAATTTCCAATAACGGTGGATAAATGAATAAAACATTGGGTAATAAAAAAATGTTACATTACAAATGTTACCCGTCCAAGATCGTCTTTAATTTGTTACAATAAATCAATACAATTTGTTTGGTGGAACAAAAGACTACGGTTATTCATCGTATAAATAATTGCACCATTTGTGCGATCAACGGGTGTTACGACAGGAGATGCCAAAAAAGGCAATCATGTGAATGCTACAAAGATATTTTCGGTTCTGTAGCGAAGCATTTGTATTTTTCGTTCCACATGAATAGCTAATGTACAAGCACTATATAATCCAAACATCTGTTCTATCCGTCTTACTGTATTTTCTTTAAATTATTTATTTTTATAGTTAATTTGTATTTATATGTATACAGTTAATATCCGATTATTATCAACTATTAAAATTATAATACAGCCAAATACTTAATTATAACAATCATTGTAAACACTGGTTGCAAGCTAAGTGTTCCATTCATTGTAGTCTTATACAGACCGGAATATATAGTTGTCAATATACAAACACTATGAACAGAACAACCGTATGATGTGCTCATAAGAGGGATATACAATGGGTTTTATTAATTATATATCATATGTACATATGGGCATACATACATACGTACATACGTACGCATCCGAATTGTTTGCGCTCAATCAAGCGCTTGTGTCTGTGTATGGATGTGTGCGTGTCTACATGCCATAGTTTGAAAACAGATTTCTGTTAATTATTGTTAATCTTCCGAATTTAACAATTTAAAAAAAAAAAAAAAAAAAACTTATGAGCTCTCCAATATGACCTTAAATTCTCTTTACATTATTTATGTATTCATATGATTATGTTTTGTAACATTAGCTCGACGGAGTATAGTAATCAGGCTGGTTAAGTAACCAGTCTATATTTATGGAACATTCAGAGTCTACATCTGCACGGAAAATTGCAGAAATTTGGAAGCGTACCCATTTTACTATCTGGATCTTCTTTCTTAGAGTTGCACGTTATATATAACTTCTGTATGGATTATTGATATTTTAATCTCAACATACTGAATTCTCGTTGTTACGAACACTTTATCCGCAGGAACATTTCTTCAAAAGCGGTTACAGATTGTTGTATCAATGTAACGAATGCCGCCTCTTATCCAATTTTCGTGCAAAGGTTAAGACGTGGCAGTCGGGTAAACAGTCTGACCGCACCACACGTGTAAATAACCAATATGTAAAAACGTGTTGCCTAACGATACCTACTTTAAATAATTCAATAAGGCTTTAGACACATTCAACGCGATTATTTCTTACTTCTGATTTACTCAGCAATGCTAATAAAATTTTTTCTAGCATTTTAATTCGTTTAAATATCCTCAGCATCGCGTCAAGTATCGAAAATACGTTTTATAGTCTATGTAAGTACTTTTCGCGATGGATACGTGATAACCATGTTATGGCAATTTTCCGAAGTTGGTGTTACGATCGGTTACGATCGGTCTCGTTGGAACTTATGATCAGTTCCATTTCTAAAAGAAAAAAATAATTTTAGTTACGTCTAACTCGTTTGGAACAAATTACGAATACTGTAGTAGTGGTAAGTGGATTTTTATGTTCGACATAAACTTCCAGTAATTGTGGTTTCAATTGTTATCGATGTTTTCGCAATAAAAATCATCAATTTTATTGCTGTATCATCTTCAAATTGAAGTAAGGAAGTTTTCGTAACTTATACACTTATCGATAGTACCTGGATTTTGTTGTGAATGTAGCGTATGTTCAGCCTAGTAGCAGAACTTAATAGCAAATACAGAAAATTTGTTAATCTATACAAAACTTGTATACAAAGCGTTCATTGGGCCATGTGAATCAAGTACAGTACAATTCAGATTACTTAGAAAAGTGGATAAATGGAGGATGCAGTGGTAATATAGACAAAAAAACTAGAATCACGGAGGTAACGGTATGCTACAAAAACGCTTGTTTTATGTATCAGAATGCCAACTTCGATCAGTTCAATGGAAGAAATAATTACTAAACCATGTCTCTTAACAACCACACCATATCACGTCAACGTGTCTCAGAAATAATCATCTCCTCCAAGTGAGTTTTAAAATCAACTATCCTCACTTTAAACAAATTCAAACATTTCTTACACTGTATATCGACGGTCACAATATTAATTGATATAATTATATAATAAGTTAAAATATGTTTGGACATCGTGACCAATCACCTTTACTCTTACACTCCCAATATTCACCACCATATACATAGCACAGACTGTCCGTGTATGGGTCTTGTTCTTTCTTAAACCATAACGGTTCGTAAGTTTCGAATGGTAGACCTAATATAAATTAAATTTCTTTTAGTACCACTGTATTAATTTATAATATTAAATTATTAAATGGTAAATAACTCTGATCGAAATATTATGAAACATGTTCCGTACCTTCCGAAGCTGCTTTCTCAGCTTCATGTTCACGAGCACGTCGAGCAGCTCTTTGTTTTTCCTCTAATCTTAACTTTTCTGCATTTGCTTCGTCCCAATGACCATTCTCCATCAATCTTTGATCAGGCCTATTTCGGGAATCCGTAGGAGCTATACCTTCTTCAGGTTCATTAAGTTGACATGCTAATTCCGTAAAATTGTAATACTTATCACTATCTTCGCTATAAAAATAAATAGGAATCATTTTAATGTGGATGACACAATTTAAAAAAACGTCCGCAATTTTACCGAATATTAACGTATAATCAAATACTTACGGTGGCATACGACGCTTCCAAGCGAGTATGTAAGGCCCTGTTTTATAAACTGGATTATCCGGTGTACCGGACGTACTAATAACAGGAGCAATTTCAATTTTGGTGTCCCATGTACCTTGTATTACCCATTTTACTTCATTGTCTGAATTCATGACTACGCCTTTTACCTTACGCTGACTATCTCGTGAGAAGTACGAATACGGTATATACTTCAAATGGCACTTTATACCTTGCTTATGATTTATAATGTCCGTATCACCACTTTGATCAACCCATAATTTTCCTACTATAATATTGTGTACAGTGGTTGTAACTTTTCGCCACGTATAATGCTGCAATCCACCCTCTATTTCTAGATGAGCCGTTCCTAATGGTATTACCTATGTTGATACACAAATCGTTTGTATGTTAAACACGATTCCTTACAGTATCGTAAAATTGTTAGGCAATTATCGGATACCTAAAGAGTATTTTAATTTTATAAGACTTACTTGAAGGTATTTCCCGCGAAATTTAGATGCCATTGTAAATTCTTGCCAACAACGCCACTTTCGTCCCTCGCAATGTTGTGCTAACATCGGGGGATGATGCGATACTTGTTCTGAAATTGCTCGCCACCCTAAATCGTCAACGCGATCACATTCGTACGTTTCACCTAATAAAGGATTGAAAGGTTTGCCAGTTCTGGAAGCAGTTGTAGAATAGCTAGATATAGTAAATGCAGCCACATAAGCCATTTGTTCATAGCTATCTGTACACTCTGCTGCTCTGTTAAGAATGAAGAAAAATAGAATTTATTACCTGTTCATAATATCAGGTGTGCAATAATAAGGCCCAAAACAAACTTACCTGTCAAGAATATCTGCATATTCATAATCTTCTGTAAGCCGTTGAAGCATACTGAGTGGCTCAGAAAAATTGACAGGCATTGGAATTTTTGATAAATCTTTGCCAATACAATTTTTCATAATACTCCATAAATTCAGTGGATAATTCGGTTTATCAGGTACCCTAGTTCTCCGCTTCCTTTTAGGGCCAGTCACCCCGGTGCAGCCACTGCTGCCATTGTTGGCTTGCCAATTTGTCTATTACAAAATATGAGTAATCTTACACTTTTTAAACTATAAATTTATTACCGTAATTAAATATTAGCCACAGCTTAATTTATTAGCAATGTAGCTGCAAGGAATATTTACTAACATTGTCCAGATTGTCGGTATTTTCAACAGTGGAAGGAGTTTGTACTACTGTAGAATCGGTCACGATAAAAAAGGAGTTTGCACCAGCAGTGTCTGACAGAGGTAATGGTGTCTGATCTCCTTCGGAACTAGAGCCATCGTCACTACCCTGAGAATCGGTTCTATCTCTCGAATTGCTTGCAGCAACACCAGGTATACTCAATGTAAAAGTATCTGATTCTTGCGCATCATAAAACTCTGCATTATCTTCCTCGTCTTCTGATGGGGAAGAAGTTGTAACTGTTGTATCTATAACAATAACCAAAATTTCTTTTACTTTATATAACACATAATTAAATAAAAACTGAAATAAATGTAAACAAGCTAAATAAGATTTAGTTGATCAATGGAGTAGTTATTCAATTATAAGATTGCAACAAAGCAGAAGTCAAAGTGGAGAAAAGCATTATGCGTTTTGAATAGTTTTGCTAGTTACATTAAATGATAAAATTTGAGTACATAAACAAAGTGCAATAGAAATCTGTTGATGGAGTTACACAACGAAAATATATATTTCGCGCCAATGAAAAATATATAATGAAAAGAACGAAATGTATATCGAACCTATATACACTGCACATGTCACGGTTTAAATTTATTTCATTTTGATTTTCTAACGTAACGTTCCTTTAATCCCTGCCCCCTGTCCTTATTATTTATATTGCTCCCCTTTTCAACACTTAATCGTGATATGACAACTACCGCTGTCATCAAATTGTACCGTCCTTCACCCCCCGATCGCGATCCACACCTGCAATATTGGCGAAGTAACGAACAATGAATCACTATAAGTGTTCGTACACTGATTTTTACAGGCAGCTACAATGTACCACGCATCAAATTATGTCGTGTTTCGAAATCCGTTCAGCGCTCTCATGAATCTGGACTTTCTTAAAATTTAACCGAAACTGCGAACTGTCATGAATCGTTGATAATAGACTCCTCCCCTTCAACCCGTTTAACTATCGGTTTAGCATCTCTTTCACTGATCTTCTTCAAACACAATCGCCGAATACTTCGACGGTAAACTCGAAATTAATCACATTGAATTTTTATGATAAAACACACGAATAATATCCGTCAAAACGGAAACACGTATAAAAACAGAAATTTACAAGGCCATCTAAGTCTGTTTAACCACCAAACTTGGGAGAAATGAAAGCACGACCGTGCGTATATATGTACCTATATATAAGTGTATTTTATGTATATATACATATATGTATGCATATATATATATACACATAAATCCTGTATATGTATATTACTGTAATATACCATACAATATATATGTACGTAGAATATAGTGCACGATTTGCATGCGTATTAAGATTGTGAGCTACGTAAGCAAGTTGCGACATCATACGAATCAAATGAAACTTCGCTACTGCCATCTGCTTACAAAATGGCAAGATATAAAAAAGCCGCGAAACTTCGAATGTACATGTACCACAAAGCATGTTTAAGCAGTTGTGTGAGGTATATAATACAGCTGTGCGCTACCGTGTAATAAATACAGCATTCCTCAGTCACAAACGCTTGCCAAACAATCAACAGCAGACATACACGCGCGACGATGTATTAATACGTACAGCATACATTTGCATTAGAATTCAACCATTGGTTACAGAGTTAAACATCTATAGCACGATCAATCGTTAAGTTGCGGACAAGTGTATACAGAAGAAAGCTTAACACAGGATGAACAATAAATGGTCATTTTTCTCAGCATCACACGATCTTGTAACATCGCAGTAAAACGCTAATTTTGATATTACTAAAGTAGGGAAAATAATATAAATTAAATTACGCGAAGGTCTGTGTCCCCCTGCTGGAACTGCCGAGGGAAGAGCATGTTGTGCGGCCTCTTCTAGGTGAGAATGTTGTCTGGCAAGTTGTTCGACCATCTTTTCAATCCGTACCTTCTGATCGCGTTCGTGTTGCAACATTTTCTTCCATTTTGGTTCCTGTTGTTGCGCTAAATGTAAATACTCGTTGCTCGCCTGAAATCATAATTTATCCGATTTTTTTATATGACCATTACACCTTGAGTACAAGTCATAAAAAAATTAATAAACATCGTAATACTTTATTTGGAATTAAAATCATTTGAACAGTTCAAGGGAGTTCTTGCGGAAGTTTTTATTTAAGGACGTATAACTAATTCAGCTTCAGAATTATTCGGGTGGAATTGGCAAGATCTTGATCCGAATTTTTTCAAACCTGATCGAAGTCTGTGATCTCGTACATCCATACATTCTTAATCTTTACGCTTAATATTAAATCGGGAACAGTTATTCTCCACAAATCAAGAGCTCATTTCATACGTTGTTGAGCAGAAATTTTGATCTGTATATTATTGTTAACGACGGCCTTTCAACTTACATTAACCATAGCACCGGCAGCGATGCGAAACAGTGTTGCTCTTTCGCTGACTGTCTTTATTTTCGCCGCTAATTCAGGCGATGGGGGTTCCAGTGCTTCGAGCTCGTTCAAAGCTCGCTGAAGCATGGATCCTTTTTTGTTTATTAAATCGTTACAGGCCTGTAAGTTTTCTAAGCGCTGCGAAAGGTCCTTTATCACGGATACTTGTTCCGGCTTTTGATTGTCATTATCCTGGAATTCTTCCTCTTCTTCTTCTGGAACAAATGTTATTTTACATAACGTGGCTACTTTAAAGTTCGATTACGATATAAATCATACAAAATTTGATTTCTTTTTTTCATTCCTTTATACTTCAGAATGTTTTAAACATATAATATATAGATTAGTTTCAATAATCTATTTTTAAGGATCATTCGGATCGTGCAAAAGTAATGAATAGTAATTTCTGTTTTATATCTTCGCTTTTGTAACATTTTGAGATATTCGTCAAAGCTGACGGAAAGATAACGCAGCTGTGACTCAATAAATTGTACAAACACTTCTACGAAAACGCTAGAATACATTCAAGAGGTCTGAACTAATTCGTTTTTGAACGATGATTTATAGGTCGCAGATAATGCGAAATCAAATAATGACGAATGACAAACATACATATGTTCGAATAGTGTGCATTAATGAAGAAGTAAGTTACTAAGTCATGTAATTTTTATTATACCGATGACTCGTGAACTTTGTCGGTATGATTGGTGTGACTTCACCGAGGACAATAGCGATTAATTATTTCTTGAAGTCTGTCGGCTTAGTAGTGACACTATTGATAGCGTTTTCTTTATAAGGAATGAGTATACGTGAACAGTTGATTACATACAACAAAACAATTAATTTTTCATAAAAATGGTTACTTCCATTTAAAGAAGTTTGAATTGAAAAGGGACACGTTCTACAAACATGCTTAAGTATAAACAAATTTTGAATCTAGCACGGCTCATTCCGAATCGTGATCGACGTTTCACGTATTATTATTTAATTGCATTTCATATCACTTAAGTCATCATTCATCGCTCGCTGCGTGGAAAAAATCTACCGTGCTCTTTCAATGGCGTACGTGGAACAAGAGTTACCATAGGCAATTGCCTTTAATGCTATTCTGCACAGCTTGCAAATCGTTAACAGGTCCATTGATTCAAGATAGTAATTGATCCTTGCTCACACCCGGAGATAGAGTGAGAGGAGGTCGGAAGAAAGAGAGAGAGAGAGAGAAAATATGTATTACAGAATTTAAAATCGGAATCTCGGCATTATCGAATGAAACTTTCATACATGTATCTATCTAATATTCCTAGTAAGCATTCTGCCTACTGCTTAACCAGTTTAACACGTTGACTTCCACAAGAATTACCAATGGTTTAAAACTACCAGAAATTAATGAAATAGAAGCTTATGAACAGCGCTACTATTGGCGTAGCTGGGATTTTTGTGCAGTGGGACTCAGGTTCCCTAGCTTTACCAACAGTGTTAACTTCTCTCACTAGGCATAATTAAGTAGCTTTTGAAAATCCGTCAATTTAAGAATTCGGAGATTTACTTATGCAGTGTTCCACTACACATGGTCACTTTCATCGTGGCAGTCAACGTATTAACACGTCCGTCATCATCCTCGAATGACGCTCAAGATTCATTGCAGCATCTGAAAATAAAAGAACTTGAAAAATGTTGTTTCCCAATGGGCCTTTAGACCTTGTTATCTTAATGGAACATATGCAGTTTTATACAAGAGCTTTCCATTTCTGTATTACAATGTTATCGACATTACTATCTAATCTGTAGACAACCTCCTTCTTTTTAACGCTGTTTGATGAGAAAAAATGATCGTTCTTTCATACATACCAGATTCCATAGCCTGAATGGCCTTGGCCTTCGCCAATTCGAGGGCCGTGACCCATTGTTGACGTTCTACCTCGGTCGCCGCTTTGATATGGAAGGTTTGCGTACCACCGTTGCTAACAACGAACGTACAAGCATCCACGGTGTGTATTAAGGCCCCGTGTAAGGATATCGTGCCTCGGCACGTATGTGACATCTCTGCAGGATTTCTAAACAGAGGAGAAAAAACACGACAGTTCCGCGTACACATTCTTCTGCTATTAGAAAACCGAATGACACAGAGAAAGACAGACGTGAGTTTGCAAATTAGTCGTTTGGTGCACCGCCAAGTTAAAGGTTTATCCAAGCCCAATACAAAAAGAAAGAAAACGGAAGAAACACTTCCACTTTGCCCAAGGGTAGATATTATTAACGTACACATAACACGTATGTTACCGTGAAAGCGATTGATTAAAAGTTTTCTTGTTAAAGCGAATGCTTTGCTCAAAGAATATGTCGGAGCAAACGAAGTCGATTTATCCTCTGTTGAAGTATTAGAGGTGTGCGAAAGTTTCTATCGTTTTTAAAGAAAGTTTTATCAATTAGTATATAACTAAGATTTTTGTGCGAAGTAGACCAGCTCCCCTCTCTCCGCTGATTGAATTTCAATATTTTTAAATTTCTAATCTTACGTTACGTGGAGAGAGCCAGTTTTTTCGAGCGGGAGGAGAGTAGGTCCATCCTTACCTAATTGCATCAACGGCTCATATGTTTCACAAACGATACATATATATTTTAAGTGGCCAATTATATCCGCTATTTTGTATGAACTAAATTGGCCACTCCGATAAGACGGAAATTTTGCGTATATTACGAAACGAACGTCGAATTAACGAGATACCAGACGATCTTACGTACATTTCAAAGCGAATGATCGCACAGACGTGACGGAAATTAGCGTGTACGTCGAAACGGACTCACTATAATTATGGCACGGAAATTAGCGTACACCTTTGAACAGACATCGGAGCAAGTGATATACCTTGAGAATTTGCTAATTATCAAAACTGCGATTCACCCTAGTTATTTTTCACACATATTTTAGTAATTTCATCGAAGACCCAAACTTAGGAATTTTAATTCGAAGCTCAATGTGCGAGTAGAGGGAGAAAACAGCGACTTGCCAATATTTTGAAACGAATTAAGATTTACCTCAATTACTTTTCATACTTATACGAACAGTTTCGCTAGGTTCTAAAACAATTAGCCAAGGTATAGCCAAAAGAGGTTGTACTCTTAAGTTGTCGACAAACTGTTCTAACGCGATGCAAGTCAAATGCTAACTATCTACTGCTTATTATTGGAATTCGACTCGTAGTTTATTAATGGGAATTCTACGAAAATCATGTGGACACCTCGAAGCACTTTCACCGTAACATATGCATATATGATGTGGCAACTAAATGAAATACAATTAATCTGCGTTCGTCTGCAAATATTGCGGTGTATATATATATATATATTTACAAGAGGAGCGCAGAAAAACGACAGTGTGTAGATATTACAGCGGGCTTCGATTACTTTTTCAAAGCAGTTCCATTACCAGTGTATATCAAATACGCCACCGTTTTTCTCTATGCCAGTCTACTCCCTCGTACCGGGAACCCATGATTAGTGATGGGTTATAGACTACCTATTTCGAATGGCTTCAAACATAAATACACGAAAGAATCACTTTAAATTTTATTTGAACTCCAAGTTCTGAAATAAGAAGTAGTTTTGCTGTATAGTCGTACGGTGTACATTCACACCCGTTCGATTTCCACGTGCTAAATCTTTATGTGTTACATCATCGCGCGTTGTATAGCCAAGCGTTAAAACCCCAATTCAATTTTTCAACACTGTCAAAATGCTTTAGGGTTCAAAAAAATCTAAGTGATTTGAACATACATGTTTGAATTGCTTGACAACTTACACGCATAATCTCGAAATGTCCATCACTACTCATAATGGTAACCTCACGAACAATCAAAGGACAATGCTCGAGGGTCGGCCTGATGAATGAGATTGAAAGAAGAGGGGAACAGATAGCTCGCGGATCGTGTCATGCACTTTTAGGGTCAATGAAATTCAATCTAACAGCAAGGGTTCCTGAGAGGTATAATAGTTATAGGTGAAAGAACATATAGTCATGCTATAACGCGTTCAGAAATCATTATTGCATATTGTCCGCATAGATCAGAGACGTTCGCGAACATTTCTGTCCAAGCGTTGATTTTTATTCGCGATATCGTTCGTCTTTTGCTTCTAACGAAACAGCAGATATTGCGTGGTGTATTTTATGGTTTTATCGTGGTGTACATGTATGTCTTTGAACTCTACCGAAAGTAAAAATTTATTCTGTTTTTGAACGGATGGTTCTTTCAGGAATACGAGATGGATGTACAAGGTATAAAACATAAACGTAAAATTGTGCGTACGAATAAACGATTCATCGAATATATTGAAATTCGAATTTGAAAACGAAAAAGCGTAAATTTATCGTCGTTCTGTGCACAAATTATAATAGACACAATATTGCCATATAAGGAATGAAACAGAATGATAGTGCAGGAAATCTTGGATGGTCTGTGAACTTTTTACCGACCCAAAGTTCGAAAAGATTAAGTTGCAATTTAATCTTTTCATTTGTTACAAATAAAAACGACACTTATTATTGGGTTTATGAAATAACTGAAACTTGTAAAAAATCTAATATAAACTTTGTTAATTACTCCAGAATTTTACGATATATTTTATAAAAAAATACTACTGTAAAGCAATATTAGAAATGATTAGCAATATTGCAAATAAAGATAACAGCGGTACAAAGTTAATATACAATGACAAATTTGCGATAATATGTATTTCTTATCCAAAAATATCAACAAATTAAAATTATCGGTATTTGATATTATCGGTTTTCGGTGATAGAATTATTTCCTGAAATATTCCCAATGGGTCAGTTAAAAGTTTTACACTCTGAAGACCTTCGGTATATGGTACCTAATAAAACGGAAATTAACAGCAATAACACAGCTCTGTGTTTTATATTGCGAAAACACTGATATGCTAACATATATTATACGTACACAGAATACAAAAATTATACAATTTTACAGTCACTCAAATAATTGAAATTTAATTTAAAAAATATAATATCAATGATAAGGATAAAGGGTGGATAAGTGTCAAGTAAAATTATTAGGAACATCGACGATATCGTATTAATATGTAGTTTTAATAAAGAAATATAAATAAACACACACACACAATACATGTATGTATGTATGTATGTATATATATGTATATACACTATAAATATATATACATATATAAATAAAGATTGAAATGAAATGAGAGTGAAACTCCAACATCGTCTTTGTCTGTTTAATTACAAATTCGATTCAAAGAAGAGTCAGGATATTTCGGCTTTTTCGATAATTTTACTTACTCGGAGGCTCTGCCAGCCTTCCGCTTGCGTCGTGTTGATATCTTTGGCCCCCCTGTTGGTTCAGCCCTAAACAGTCCATAAAACAAATAGACCCCATTCACATTGTGTAATATTGTATCAAAAACGGTAATTTACTTGTTTTTTTTTAAAAGTCGCGTTCGCGGTTTTATCGCTTGAATATATATTTTCTTTCCTTCTTTTATTATCATTTTTGGTTGCTCTTTATTTCTCTCTTCCTCGCATGTATAAGTATGTATAGAGACAAACGGTGCAACCATTACACTTGTGCGTTTATGTGTGCACGCTCTTTTTGTGCGAAAAACAAATTCAACATTTGTGTACTTTTTTGGTGGATTGTGTAAAAATAAAATTTTGCAGGACAATCCATTGTTGCAATTTGGACAAAGCATTGCAAACTCAAATCACACCAACTGTGCCAAGCGGAAAATTAAAAACTTTAGGCATCGCATGTTATTAGGGGTACACGGATGTTTTAAATATAAAGAAACGATATAGTGAAATCTTTAATACTTATATATACGCAATACATTCGATAGAATTATTTGATACTTGTATCCACGTTCGGTAATTACAATTGAAAGACTGAATTTTGTTCGCCGTAAGAAAAAGAACTTTGCTGTATGTGATGAATAATAATGGTCGAACAAAAATTTCACAGCCATAGCACCTCTTCCGCAAACTATAATGAAATCAAAGTAAATAATTCAATGAAAAATCGCAGAGTTGAAAAAGAAGAATAGGAGGCAAATATGCAATAAAATTTCTCTGATGCGTGTGACAAATGTAAGCGAGTATATACAAAATATAAATTGGTCGTTATGTTCTTAGGTCATTTCTAATTTCTTAACAAGAACTTGTAGATGTATTGGAAAACTGCAACATATTCTGCAGCACTGTACATGCTCAGGATATTATTCAAACTATAATGGATAAGTATGGAATATGTAAACATGAGCTTTGGACAAAACTGTGATTAGATTTTGGTTAAGTATACTTGGATAAACCGAGTTGATAATATCCCTAACTGAGTCTGCATTGGCTGCTTATGTACATGCAATTTTCAACTGTTAATACAATACCATATTTATTATGCTCTTAATAAATAAAACCTATTTACAACACTGATTGAATCACAAGCACGATTCATTGCTATCTTAGATACATAATATAAAACTGTTCCCTCTAATTTTCTGACGTAACCTGTCATTGTATGTAATCGTGACTAACAGTCTCTCGTGTTAAATGTATATTTTCTTAATTTCATATAGTGAACAGCTTAACCTAGAATCGAAATTAAGACGTAACATTAGTTCAATTTTAATAACACATGGAACATTAGAAACTGGACTAATATTATCGTATACTTTTCTATTAAATGACCACTGAAGATTACACAGCTGTATATTCATTCGTATGTTTTGATAGAAAATTATTATACAAGTATCGATCCATAAAAATGAACTATGTTCAAAATACAGCAATGTACGTACGAATTAGGAAAAGGAACAGTTGCATACTGTACCTAAACAAATTCTTTTTCCTCGCATAATTGTTATTATTGTACCCTTGCAAAAACAGCAGGATTACAGGATAAAAAATCGTTAAAGAAATATTGGCATTACGATAACTAATCGCATCGATTTCTAGCGTGGCAATACACGCGACTGAAAGTGAAATAATTAAAACGAAAATACTGACACGTAGAAAACTACCTGTAATACGACAGTAGGCCATTTGACAGGACGAACCATCTTCGCTGGTAACCTTTTAAATAATTAGTCCACTTAAAGAGCCAGCCTTTCATCTCCTGTGTACCGTGTTGAGCCTTCGAGTCACCCATTTTATAATATGTTGCGTGCTCGCACGCGTTTCTCCTGAAATTACAATGCACTCCAATATCTGCGTACACATCACCCGTATCGTACAGCCACCATTTTGATATTCTTCTCGCCCACAGACTGTGCACACTTAGATCGAAATTCTACTTATACACACTATTAGTGAGTTCGTAATATACCGGTAGCAATAACAACAGATTCAAGGGGGTGATTTAAAAAAAATAAGATATTTGGAAACGATATGGATTCTCCTTTCACACGGCGTGGTAAACCTGCCACGTTCCTCAGTGATACGGTGCCTAACCTTTATTACCCGAGTTGCCTATATAATGTTCGTATTCATGCGTATACGGACACATACAAATTTAATTATGGATAATCTGTGATTCTGCAGATTTCTTGATGTTTTATCCATCTATCTCTCTCTTTATTCTCATGCGAAAACTGTCTTCAATTCAACGTAATGTAAAAGAAAATGAATTGATAAATCATAATGACATGGAATTTTTAAGTTAAAAAAAGAAACAAATTTGAGATATAAATTTAATTTTACTTTATTTGAAATTTTTAACATATGTTGATCATCCTGGCTTTGTAAAGTATTTGATTTACACAAATTGGGATTTAAATTAATAAGAGTTACTGTAGGTCTCGTGAAAATGAAAGGAACTGTACAGAGTTCGTATCATTTCTTAAATTTTCCCATTGATACAATGGGAAAACTAAAGTTTACGTTTACGGATCACATGTCTAGTGATCCTTAATAGACAATGAACATGAAACACGTGATCATTTAACATCGTGTGAACGCATTTATCATGTCACAAGGATTAACGAAATTTTTACGTACTTCTTAAAACGTACACGCCAACGAAAATATGTTCGTTCTGTCATTGGACAAAATGTGCGTACGATCTGCTCAGATGAATCGTTCCGTTCGAAAAAAATGTCATGAAGAAGGAGCACTCGGTACACTCTTCGATTAGATGCTTAATACTGACCATTATCTTCAAACCAAACCAAGCTCTTAATTTATCTGAGCAAATCACACAACGTAAGAAGTACTTGAGTGGCTCTTCATTCTACTATACGAAGAATATATTACGAATTTCAATGTATTAATAACTATGTAGTCATCACACATTTTTGCAATATATACGCACAAAAAGACGTAAATACAAATTTAAAGCCGAATATATCAAATAATTGTTATATTATGGCAATTTAATATTTCTTCGTATTTTGATACAGTTTTATAAATTATGAAAGGTGGAAATTAATGTCATCTTACTTGATCGGTAACATAAAAGCGGACACCAACTTTATCGACACGGTTTCCTTTTGTTGGTAAAATAGACGAGGTATAAATGCGATTTATATTAGGGTTCTAGAGCCCCAAAAACTGGGGATAGAGAAATACATTGGACGATAAGACTATATATTCGTACATTTGGCCTGTGATGAAGTTCTATAAAACGATAAGTTATTTTTTATCTGTGTTGGTAACTTGACAAAATTACCTCGCCTTCGTTACCATCAAGTGGCACAAAGTTTATGACAAAGATAACTAATTTCTATAAATTTAACTGGCAAATAAAATAAATATTAATATACAAATAATAAAAGTATTTTTATTTATATTTTTCCGAGTTACAAAAATGCATTGTGTGAAGTATCCATTGTACATCATGTCTACAACTGCAAATCAGTAAGATGTTGGTACAGATTTCTAATTTTCAATTTTGCATTACCGAATTTTATCGAAGCAAAAATATTAATTTGAAATAGTTTTCTTCTTTCTTATTAGATTGTTTAAATATCTTCAAGCTGCCCTTATGTTGTTCGCATTTCTTGATTGAATTACGAATCTAATTCTTTTTAAAAATGTTATATTAAATATACATTGAAGAAAGGAATTATCACGTAAGTTTTTTTTGTGTAATTCATTTTTTTTGTAATATTATATACATAAAGCAGGGAGAATATATAACGATTATATAATGAACAGCGTGTGTCGATTGTTGTTTGGCTTAGGATGAACTTCTGCGAAGTTTTGATTGAAGATACTGATAAATATATGTTAACAAATTACTTAGATTAGTTAAAACGGATAATAAGGAAATGCATGTGTATTATATGGCATTATGTGGATATATTAATTTGTTAAAGTTAACGCGTTTCGAACACCCGGTAGTAGAGCTTGATGCAGCTCTGCGCCTGTCAACCAGCAGTTGACCTGTGTAGTTGACTGTAGTAGTTAACCGATCGCGCGCTAATATATATTTTTCTCAGGTTTCTGTATCTTCTCACGAGTTTCTCGGTATCACGTGAATCGTGTCTGTATACATGAGGTGATGAGAAAGCTTATAAAAGGGCCAGACTTCGGATTACCCAGGTGAGATACCTGGGTCTCTAAAATATCGCGTTGGGACATAATCTGGGGTAAGGGAGTAGCAACCTCTTGGGGCCAGTGCTAGTCACGTGACCCCTCTGTTTACCAAAATGGTGAACATCTATGTTTTACAAATAATTTCCAATTCTTTTTAAGACCTCTTCGTTCAGCTATGATGGTCTAATGAAATGAAAGCGGGGTTATGGTAATCGTACCGTTAGTCATTAAACATCATAGACGAACACTTGTAGCTAGTATTATTACGCTCGTATTGTGTTCGGTTGCCACAAAAGATCGTAGCGAAAGTTTGAAAGTAGCCGTATGAAAGTGTCTTCCGCGTTACAAAGTCTTCTCATATGTAATTATTACGCGTGTGGTTAAATTTATCTGACCAATAGAGAGCATTTTGAATGTGCATTTCCAGGATTCAATGACTGCCATATTAATTACCCAACTCCTTAAAACTCATTGACCTATTGGAACAGTACTATTTTTTTATGATTTCTGTATGGATACGAGTCTTCGATATTTCATGTAATTTTTTATCAGCAGTATTCATTATTTCGTTTTATTCTTAACTGTCAGTAATGGCATGTTTTTATTATATCTTTAAAGGGGGTGACCGAGGTTCCACGAGGCCTAATTTCATTACAGACAATGTTGAATGCACGGCATTGCAGGTACAATGTATATGTTACGCTTTAATTTAAATGATTTTAAATGAATCTATACTAATTTATCATTTCTATAGTGATTACAGATGATCTCTGATGTAGGCTAGTGCAAGTAAAAAGCACTTTCAAATAGGACATCTAAATGTCAAAGGGTGTCCTATCATAGCGTTTTATGCTTTGGCCAGGCATTTTTAAAAATGGCCACGTATCAAGTTGACTATCAGTGGTTGGTCTTGTAATTAAATTGCTTTTATAATTAAGATGTTGCTGTGCAATTGTATGATAATTAAGGGTAATCAAATTGCATGGTGATTTTTAGGGCTTATACCATAATGGATTCATCTAGAATATCCACTTTCTTAATATCAATTTTATTGATAGTCTATGGCAGTTTCCGATCTCTAAATATGGAACAGGAAGCTAGAGAAAGAGAGAAAGAAAAAGAACGCAGTAATTTATTGACTGGAATTTTGAGTAATAGCAGCACGGCAAATGCGGATGGTGCTAATGGCAGAGTTCAAACTCTAAATACAATGCATGCTCTTTGTCTACCTCTTGGTGCTTCCATTTCTCTACTTGTCATGTTTTTCTTCTTCGACAGTATGCAAATGCTTGTGGCAATTTGTACAGCCAGTAAGTTTTATAAAATGTGCATAACATACATATTATCATTCATCTGCAATGTAATTATTTTTTTGGAATATGTTTTTTTTTTCTTGAAATGTTTGATTCTTTTTTATTTACAGTTGTAGCTACAGTTGCATTGGCATTTCTTCTGCTGCCCATGTGTCAATACATCATTAGACCATGCTCGGATGGTAACAAAATATCCTTTGGTGTTTGTGGAAGGTTTACAGGTGCAGAATTACTTTCATTTTCACTGAGCGTGAGCATAGTATGCATCTGGGTTCTAACTGGACATTGGCTACTCGTGGATGCAATGGGCATGGGACTTTGCGTAGCGTTCATCGCATTTATTCGATTGCCTAGTCTAAAAGTATCCACTATATTGCTAACCGGGCTATTGATCTATGATGTCTTCTGGGTTTTCTTTTCATCCTATATATTCAGCACAAATGTAATGGTTAAGGTAAGTTTCTTGAATTTTACTAAAAATAATGTATAGAAATCGAAATGTTATGTTTGGAAAATACAAATTATATTTGTTTTCAATAACAGGTAGCGACTAGACCAGCAGATAATCCCGTGAATCTTGTGGCTAGGAGGTTGCATTTGGGAGGTGTAGCAAGAGAAGCACCGAAACTTCCTTTGCCTGCAAAATTAGTTTTTCCATCCATGCATCAAGCAGGCCATTTTTCAATGTTAGGTCTTGGTGATGTTGTCATGCCAGGTCTTTTGCTTTGCTTCGTTTTACGATACGACGCGTATAAAAAGACTCAATTGTTGCCTGGTGGTTGTGAAACAGGAGTCCCACCTCCTCGTCACATTAACCGCATTAGTTATTTTCATTGTTCTTTGATCGGTTATTTTCTTGGTTTACTTACTGCTGCTGTAAGCTCTGAGGTGTTCAAAGCTGCGCAACCTGCCTTATTGTACCTTGTGCCCTTCACTTTACTGCCGTTGCTCACAATGGCATATTTGAAGGTATCTTTGAATTATTAGCTGTTACTTTCACTGTGTTTGTATATATATATATATACAGATCATATTAATACGAAGTTGACATTTTAGGGAGATTTACGTCGAATGTGGAGTGAACCGTTCATATCTCAACAACCTTCGAAACATATGGAAGTTTGACAACAGTCATGGATTCATGTATATTACACATCATGGGAGGAAAATCATTCATATGAATCCTCTTGTCACTTATCATCACGTCCTTATTTTTATCAATGTCATCTAATGTAAGTAATTTTTTTTACACGTGATACGTCTTTTAATGCCACAATGCAAATTACAATTTCATACTTTTGCGAGCGATTCGCGGTGTAACTGAAGAAATACTGTGCTACGACATTGATTTAATATAACGTTAAAGATGTAAACTGGGTTTTTTTTTATTAAGTGGAATGAAAGCAAACAATATTTATAAATGTTAAGAATACTGACTATTTCGAATACGTGGTCGGGTACTCTTTTTGTGTCTTAAATTCGATGTTGAGTAATTCAGTGGGCTATACATATATTAGATAAAATAAATAATACTGAACATTATCTCACGATCTATTAAAACGCGTATTAAGACACACTTAAAAAAAATACGGAGATGCGTTTGTGTTACTTCTACGGCGAATTGTATCATATGAATTTCGTATGCTTCGAAATACACATTTTTCATTCTTTTTTTACACCAAACTAATAACGTGTTTATATATTGAATAGTTTTGCTCTAACTCCGTTATAAATGTGTGTGATATTCTATGCAGAAAAGATTTTTTAATTTATTATTCAATCGATATCAGAATAATTGTATGTAACATGTAGTTATGGATAGAATAATTTAATAACTGTTCAAGGATTTCCACAAAGATCTAGCGAACGTATGTGTGTAGGTTGTGACTTTGTTTTAACTTGGGACTAGTGTCAAAGAAAGTGTTCTTTACGCAAAATTGTATATAAAATTTTCGTTTTCATAAATTTAAGAGTTAAACAGAAAAAAATCGATAATTTGTTATTAGGATTAACAGCAAGCGTTTCTAACTTGCCAAATGTCTTGCTAACTTTGTATAGCATGACGAAAATTGAAACAATTTTCTAGGAAGGATGAAAGTGAAAGTTGTAGAACTTTATGGTGAAAAGTAAACGACAAATTTAAGTCTTGATTTTTAAGGACTGTCTCGTGATAAGAACAAGTTCACGATTGCAGCCCAAAGTGTTTTAACCAAGCTCTTGCTATGGATAGGCACCAGAAAGACTTTTTTATGTTTATTTAAAAACAAGACTGAAAATAATATTGTATGAAAGCCAATGTATCGAGAAATATCTCAGAAACAATCAATCCCTTTGTTCAATTTCTCTTATCTCAATTTATATGGTATTGTAGATTGATACAATATAATATAATATATGATACAATATTATCAGACACGACACAAATAGAATGATTGCTTCTATAATAATTTGCAGTAGATTATACGAAGTGTAGCATCAGAGATTATATTAGTTTATTTACTGGTTATTTTTACAATATTTTATTCAACACATTCTGAAAGTTATGAACATATTAAATGTATATCTAGAATTTTCTTTTCTCGAATATACATTTTTCTTTTTTTCTTTCTTTGGATAAGGATATTTTAAAGGAACTAGTACATTTTTTATGTAATATGTTTTGCACTTATAACGGTATAATGGTACATTAAGAGCGATAAATTATCGGGGATAGAAATATAGCATCAGTTTAAAAATAACGTAACTTGTACACTTGTATATTGACCTAGAAATTAACAAACCTAATCCGTAGTATGGACGACAAAGAAATAAATAATTATATTTGCAATCTTGTTCTCCAGAAACATTTCAATAATTTGTTCGTAAAAAGTTTAAGTATTTCGCCTTTACTTTTATAAACGTTAATATTAAAAATAGTATTATACAAAAACTAATAACTTTCTAAAAAAAAGAATCATTTATACATGAAATTATTTTTTTACTTGCGTTAATGCAGTTCTAACAGTTAACAATTTATACGAGCAATTAATACCTCACATACAAACTACTCCTTTTGATACAATTTTCATTAGTTTTTGTATAAAACTGCGATCGTTAACCGTGCTTCGTTCGTTTACCTGTCCATAGCACAAGCAATTTTTCATTCATTATGCGTCCTAAGGAAATGATTTTTAGACAAATCGAAGAAATATCTATTTCATTAATGGGATATAAAGACATGCAAGTAGCAAAGTATATTTTAACTACTTCCGTTCAAACGAAAAGGAGAAAAGTAAAAACAGTAAGAGAAGACTCGATCATTCTTAATGCGAATGAACCTATCTACGCGTTGTTAAATTTTCAAAAACTTAAGACTCGTTTAATCTTGTTTTTTCTTTCTTAAAAATAATTAACGTACATTATTATACAGGGTTCATTTTTCTGTGATGTACGTTTTATAACTTTTTTCTTTCCTCTGTACATATCTTTGACTTTATACAATAATTTTATATCAATAATTGTTCACTTTTTCTTAAATCCGAGATATTAGTTTACCGGGAAACCAGTGAATTCTTGGGAAAAGATATCCACATAATCAGAGACGTTGTATAATATAGGGTAGATTTCAATACCTTAAAAGAGGTTCATGAAACAACAAGTTCAAAATAAAACACTTGTATACTCCTCTTGCTTCAGTTGCATTTCTTCGTTTAATTCATGTTATTGTTCTTTTTTCTTTTTTGTACAAACAGAGTTCGAAGCATAACAATGTAGAAAATATCAATTGTAAGATTATAACTTAGTTTATGGTGAAAATGGAAGGTGTAAGAAAATTTTATTCCCTTTCTTAACAGCTTATTATAAAGAACCACGTTTTCATTAACGAGAGTCTTTAAGTCTGACAAATTATTTATTTGACTAGGATAACAAAGATGGAAGCATGTACATAAATCACAACTATTTGATTGTCCTTTAATTTTCCCATAAACTAAGCGACGAAATATATATACATACATATATTATTTCATACATTGTATCACTAATATGTATCGTGTATATAATATATATATATAGTGATACGACGCACGAAATAAAAAGCAAAGTAAACGAGAAAATACATTTAAAGAAAAAATCGGAAGTTAAGTCGTAAATAGAATTATAATTAAATGCTAAATAATTATAGCTGATATATTATTAAGAGCACTTTGCTTGTACTGTTGCAGTTCTTGACTTGCATGTGTACAGCTATGTACATTTTTATATATATTATAAAAATCCGATCATTTTCGTATGATCGTGTTGAATAAGTAAACTTATTGAATAAACTTACACATGTTCTTTTTCTATCACTGTTATATTATATACATATATGTTTTGAGAGCCTATATACTATGTTATTCTATTTTTCAGTTGATTATAATTGATAAGTCTCTGGTATGTATTTGATCTTTTAGAGTATAGTATTGGCCATCATTATCAGCTATGTATCTACGTTACGTTGATATTTGCTTTTATACTATATCACATAGTTTATCGTTAAAAAATTACTTGAACCGGGTAAAAAGGACTTAAAAGTTATCAAAGATATGCAAAAGATTTGATCAATGTTTGTAGCCAATCTTGTATGAACACGGTAAATCACACTGTCTGGACCTCTTTAATAGAATATTATGAACGTTGATGACATACAATGTTTCGTGTTCATAAGATTGGATTTAAAAAATTAATAGAAAAATTTTATAAAAGTTATTATTTTAGAAAATCAAAATGAAATTATAATGCCAAATAAGCCTATCGTTTATACGCTGCTTTGTCCCATTGTCACGTTATCTAAATTCCTTTTAATACTTTCCAATTCGTTCATATCAGTAACGGATGATTCGCACTTATACACTACCAACGAATGATAAAAGTGAACTGCGAAAGCTATGAACACTACGAGCACCGGTATCACTATGATAGTACTGGCAGTAGCTGCGGTGAACGAGTAATCCCAGAATTTCACCCAACAGAGTATGGCAACTTCCACTAGGAACAAAAACAGGCCCAAAACTGTGGAAAATGCCCAAGCTAATTCGATGAAGCCGCGCATTCTTTCGTGCGGTGATTCCGTGACGAGACGCGACATGTGAAGTTTACTGACAGCCTCGATATTGGGCAATAAATACGTGCTTATCATTAAAGCAAAGATGTGTACTGATACTAGAACGGTTGTACAAACAGCGAATATTACGAACAACCATTCTGGGACCGCGGTTGGCTCGTTTATTTGCAACTCCACCATAGCCACCTGGAAAGATAAAGAAAAAAGAAAGATGAAATTTAATACCATCCAATAAAGGCAAGTATTTCTACGAAATATTTTGCGAATTATCTTTTTAATTGTTAAGTAAATTCGCGGTGAGATATAATGTCTTATGACAATGTACATGGCGCGATGAAGCTGTATTAAGACTGAAAGTTTACTGCATTATTGATACAATACCAACGCTACTCAAAAATTCTATTCCCTTCTCTTTCATTAATTATTCGATTACATTACATTTGAGACGCCGGTTACCAATGACCCCCATAGTCAGCCAACGTGTTAATGACAGAAGACGAATGATTAATACAGAATTACCACCCGGACTACTGACATTAGTACCGCGTATACCTGCGATACTCGATCGAAGGCGGGTCCGTTGAATGTTTGATAATCAATTATATGTTAGCGTGATGCACATTGTTAAAAATGTGATATTCGTCTTATGTAATCACAGATGAGTCCGAAGATTACACGGAATTGTCGTCCAAGTCTATTTAATGATTTTCAGGAAACGTTGTATAATCTACCACGGGTTTTCTGATTCTACAAACACAAACACTGATTCTCCTTGGAAAAATTAACTCGGCAAAGCATTTTTGCCTGCTAAGAACATTTAGAATGTACATCAGCATAATTCTTTCATCATCGACAATATCCTTAAAGTGTTTTGTAGTCATTCAATAATCGTATATCATCGATTAAAAAAACGTCAAATCGAATTTTTCTTTTTAACTTGCAACTGAACGTACAAGGTCATTTTTGCTCATTTTGCTTAGTTTAAATTAACAAAACCGGCACGCGAATGAAACATAATCGAATAATTAAAAAAGAATCTGTGCGGTGATCACGCGTGTTAGAAGTGAAACTTCTGTATTTCTTATGGATTGAAAATTGAGAATGTGGGAACTTGCAGATACATTGATTTAAGGATTCGGAAGGTGAAAATTTGAGTATTGCATTGTCTGACATTTGGATCCATGAGCGGTAGTCGCAATGTATCGCACTCGGATGTTTCACTTCGAAAGAAAATAAAACACACTCTAAATAGCATTAAAGTTATATTGATTTCGCAATTTTACATGGCATGCCGTATCACATACTTCTATTTTCGCTGCGGCATTTACAGTCGTGTTAATATAAAGGTGAGTAATACTGTCGGGAATAATCTTCAGAACGGGGAACTCCGGCGATTGGCATTATAAACTCGGCATGATCGAAAAATAGAGGAAAAAATTGTAAAGGATTCTACAAAGCGTTACATAAATTTCTTAAGACAACAAGCAAATTATTGAAATTATGAAATGAATCAGTCCTGCTTCGAGCAATTACAATAGCGCGTCGTGTTACATTCGTATGTTCCCACAATGTCATTTAACGTGTTAACTCCTGTATTTTTGTTCTTTTTTGTTTGTCAAGCCAGACACCACTCACCATGGCAAATCCACTTAATAGTTCCGACGTTGTCGCGGTCGCTTTCAACTTGGCTCTGCTCATGTGAAGTCTTCTCCACGAGAGACCTTCAGGACCGTCTTGCTCTTCTGTGTGATGGGAAGAAGGTGTTTGTGGTGCTTGCGATCCCGCACACGTACAGCAACATGTGTACGGCACATTGTTTCCTGAGATATGACTGTTCGAATGAGGACTCGAAAACGGAACACTGCCCATTGATCTCATATCTAAAGCTACATAACGATTTTGTCTGTTTCTAGGTGATAGAACCAATTCGCTCTGCGAAGGATACAACACGCTCTTAGAATTGTGAGAAAAAGAGTAACTCAGATTATCGCTGATTTGCGTTTGTTTTGGCAGATAAGCTATGGAAGTTGGTCTTACTCTCTGTGCAGCGTATGATAATTGGGTAAAGTCGATCTGAGTTGATTTATTTAACTTTCCTGGTATATCCTCGATGCTCTTGTTCATCGAGATCGGTTTGGTTTTTTGTTGTTTCTCGTCTTCGATCAACATATTGTTCTTATTGGATAAATCCTTTTCAGCGAACGGCCCAATATTATTGTTCGACATAGTTGCTCCTGATTCCGCTACGCCTGTCGCCAAATTTTCGCTCACCCTACACTTGCGTGCGAAGAATAACCGCCTACCTCATTGATGTACTCTCAGTCAGAACAGTTCAAGGAATTGTGGCACAGTTTATCTTTCACAAACACCTCAACTTAAGATACCATTGTGTTTCCTTTCCAAAGGATTGGCTCACCGCGGCGCACGTTTACACAATCACCGTGGAGATTATTACACGTTCAAGTTCTTCCGTCTCGTTCCATGCCTTCGTTGTGCCATTCAATTGTTTTGCGAACAGTATATCGCATATTTTCCGTCAAAATACGACAGATCACACGGAACGTTTATCGATATCATACTTTGTAGACACAGCACTGAACGATACAGCTGCTCGGTGGAGTCAAACTGTACATATTTCTCTAGATATTTTAGAAAGAGCGACAAGTCAACGTGCGTGGAATATGGTGCACGCGTTTCACTGATCGAGCGGTCAGCAAGGAAAAATATAGAAAACAAGTATCTGCGAGACACAAATGTCAGTGGAACACTGACCGAATGCCGCTATTGCATTGTCGAGAAGCACCACATGACGTACCCGTCTGAATCATAACAGTAGTATTAATTGCCTCGGAGCCATATCGGCCATATAATAACCGGCTACGGTTGCTTCAACGTATATGTACGTGAGCGTTTTCCGACGACGTATACACGCCTCTCCTCTCTCACGTGTCCTCGCTGTGAGATGCGACTGCGGCCAATGACGCTTGTTTTTCTTGCCTTTGGGAACAGATAAGATGAAACGTATCTAGCCAGGTATCGAGACGCCACCGGTAACAATGCAATTAATTCGCGATTAAAGGAAAATCCTTTCAGCGGTTCTCATTCGATGTACGTTACATTTTCCTTTTCTCTTTGATAACGTGACAAATTTCTATACCATCATCGTCATTTTCAAGTGCAAGAAGTTTTACAGTGATAAACATTAACTGTTCAAAAAATAATTGTGTTAGGATTTTAAAACGAATAATTTGCTTTCGTAATGGCACGAGCATTTTTCTTCCGTGTAGATGAAAAGCAGAGGTTCGTGATGAGTATGAGAGGTACATTCGTTGAATTGCACACTCTGGAATTGACATGAGAAAACTGTCTTCGACGGTAACCAGTACAGGAATTGAATCCGATTTATCAGAGACCAGCCATTCTTGCCAGCTGAAATAGCGGTTGCTTTTCCGCTTCTTTCTTTTTTTATTGAGCTCAATGCAATCGTCATCGATGCATACGATGAATATCCGTTCGGCCAGATTACTGACAATTTGACGCATTGATTACAGTGAAAGTTATGTATAATCGACATCACCGATTTAATATCGGAGTAACTAAGATCATTGTTTTGGATGTCTCCGATCTCCAAGCTGTATCTACTTGTTAATTTTCACTATTATAGTTAATGTCAATTACAACTTTTACTTGTTCATGCTGAGAGAAGGGTCTTCTACCTTGAACAACCACTTTATACACTGAAAATATGTACCGAGAATATTACGTATTCTTTCGTATTTCGCGTAACAAGTAAACGACGACGCAGGACAGGTTTCAAGAAACCGTGCGAACGTATGCCATCGACGATTTATTGGAAAAGTTCTATCTGTCTGCAGCCTCATTAGCATACACGATTGTACACGTTTAGAACAGATGGAGCTTCTTGGACTAGTAGTATAGGAAAACTGATTAAGTTATCGTAGATAGCGATAGTTCAAATTTTTCATTAATTTTTAGTTTCATAGATGATTTCTTATTAATATTTTATATCTTTTGCTAGATTAACGAACGGGAGAACTTTTTTCTCTTGTATTTCAAGCGCCGACCTTTCGTAATTGAAAGGTAATTGAACGAATTCAAAGTCATTAACGAATAATTAATTTTTTTTTTTGAAATTTCTTTCTCTCAGAATAGCCTGTGACATTTGATGTTCCAGTGATGTTCATCACTGGTTTATGTGGTAGAGTATAAAGTACATTTGCGCCTGAAACTAGTTAATAAAGAATTCTTGCAGTTGTGTATATCTGGTTGCAGCTCTCAGGGAGTCGTGACAATTGTTGAATTACTGCGCACTTATTAATAAATATCAGAGTTTAACTTATTTTTATACAAAAAATCGCAAATTAATAAAATTACATTTATTATGCAATACATAATATGAAATAATATTATACATAAAAGTTTATGAAGAACTTAAATCACGTTATAGATTTTATATATTTTTACTTTTAAGTTCTTTCAAACAAACATTGAAGGTATAATTTGCACAGAATTTGGGTAAAATTATTTTGTATAATCTTGGTGTTATTGTACGTAATATGAATCAGTAATATTATGCAATTTTATTTATATTTATTAACATACAAGAATATTCCAGATATTTGTAGAAGAAACTTTCTGACCGCGGCGCAAGCGCAAAGTTCTCGTAATAGCCGAAGTCGTAAGTTTCAAGCATATTAGTTGGGACGTATGGTTGGTGAAATCGAGTGTTATTGTCACTTGGTCTAGTTAACTTCATAGTTTGTGTGCATACACAATCTGAGTAACGCTTGCGCGTATTTACAAAAGCTAGAAATAAATTACATGAACTGTTTATCGTACAATATTCATTAACAGCTATACGTTTGACGGATTGGTCCATTGCGATACTGTAAGGAACGAAAACAAACAATTAGTTCGATGCGATCTTTCTCGAAAGGTTCATCGAATATTACAGAACGAGTCGTAGATAAATATATCATCACGCATAACATTTCAGATCTCGTTTGTTCGCATTTGCACGCGTATACGTTGTTTTACACAAACGTGTGCATTTCGTGATCAAGCTACAAGTGGACGATAGAGGTTAGCGTCTGGCAAACAGCTAAAGAATTTGTATCGTGTGACCAAGTGTTTTGAAGCACACTTTTTTTATACTTGTGCCAAAAACATATATTACACAATACGAATATTTTTGTGAAATTACAAGGAAGTATTGTTGGTCACAAGGCGTACTCGGAGACTGAAGCACGTTCCCTAAAGCTCTGGGAGGTTCCAAATGACAGTAGGCAACTTATTATTTACAAATTTCGCGTATAAATTAATAAAATAATAAAGTATTGTAAAAGTTGTAATAGTACTTTAAATGAATATTTTGAATTACTTGTTACAAATATATATTTAATAAACAATTAAATTTATTGTATTGTAAGCTTTTGTTGCATTTGTCATTGGCAATTAATTGTCACTCGTAAATACGGTAGCACTATCTATGCAGTACCAAATATATTCTCATCTGGTTTAGAATGCAATGGGAGGAGCAAATCTGCATACACCCTCATCGATATTCCAACATATGATGGGTCAACAAAGTACTTCACAACCTGGGCCATGGTTACAATTGCCACAAGTGCCACCAATGACGATACCATGGAGTGTGCCATCTCTGCAGCAGCCTGAATTAGTCAGATTCACCGGTGGACCAAGTTTTGAACCTGTTGCCCATCAAAAGAGAAAACTTGAAACACCTGATCTGTTGGATACGTATGTAATTCAAATATGCATATTGGTGTTTTGTAATGCCTAAAGTTTTTATTACACATTCAATGAATTATTATGATATTGCAGAAGGCAAACAAAACAGTTTATAACGGAAGAAAAAATGGCTGCACATTTCAAAGATTTGCATATTAGTTCCAATTATCAGCCACAGTCTCCAGTTCCATCAACTTCAACAGCTACTACACATCCAACAGTGCACTCTAGGGAACTAAATATGGAATTAGAAATAGATGCAACTAATGTAGTTGATACAGATCAAGCAAAATCTGAACATCCTAGGTTGGTTTTATCAGAAGAACTAAAAAGACTCCAACAGGAACCCATTCTTCCATCTTCTTTGTTATCTAAGTTGTAAGTGTGATTTGTTTTATATAGTATTATAAAATTGTTGTTATCGTAAAAAAGGGTAATTTTGAACAAAAAATGCAATCTTCTTTACCAAAGATGATAAAGCTTTACAGTTTTTCACTTTCAGCGAAAGGCCCTCCATGGCTTTAGTTCTTTGGGAACCACCAAACAAACATTTACGTATTTTGCCAACAAGGGATACGCCGACTCCTATACCTAGCGCATCCGACGACAACAACAACAACAACACTAATAATAATAATAATAATAATAATAATAATAATAATAATACCAATAACAATAATAATAATAATGAAACAGTTTATGATCTGAATCAAACATTATCGAGTAATTCCTTAATTTTTGAGCCGATGGAATTATGAAGGTAATTCATTAGGGTATTTCAATTAACATTTTCGTATACTGTTAGAAGAAGAAGGATATGTCATACCTTATATTTTTTATTCGATACTATTGCGCTTGTGGAACGTTGTGAAATAATAGGTATGAAACCTTTCTATTGAGTGAATCAATTAGTGAATCAATTAGTCGCTAAGATTTTGTTATTGACATGTCTTAAGTTAAAGATATTTATTAAAATAGAAACAAAAAACAGGAATACACAAAAGAATAAAAGGTCATAATATACGGAGATAAACAAGTTCCTTTTGTATATTAAATACGATTTGTGTGAGTATATTAATTACAAGAGAAAAATAAATATATATTCATTAATGAATGCGTTCTCGGGTTTAATGTGAAACTCAGTATTATTCTGATTGTCATTAATATATTGAGCATAATGATTCCATTAATCTCTCCTGTGTTCGATGTGTATGTCGTATGTTCTGTTTTTAATGTTTTTACATAATAGAAAACGCAATGTAAAGAACTGAAGTGCATATTAATGGATAAAACTAAGTATATAACCGAGTAGTTTTATTTCTTTACTGTATGTATACAATATAATGTTAAGATTATTATATGAAGTACAATTCAATTTGCTGTATGAATGAGCGAGATTACAGTTGTTTGTCATGAATGAATCTGTGTTTTCGGATGTATGATAATTTTGCATAAAAACATGACAAAATTTTATTAACAATGAGTTTTTCATTTATTTGCTGCGATTGAAAGGTATATAAAAAAGTTATAGATATCGTTGAAAACATTAAATATGCATATTTTCCTGCTCTGATGAGCAAATTTGACTGCTTCCTTATGACAAATTTATGAAACCGACGGAGACATCACTCGATGCATTTAAATCATCGGTCGCATAACTCAGAGTGTTGTTAAACGTTTCGATGTCATCTATAGGTTCGCCATTAATCGCTGCTGCGACTTTAACATTATCCAACATCGAAACATGATTGCCCTCAATTTCGTGTACAGTTACTTTTCCATATGTTAACTGTAAATTTCGTTAGAATTTACTTGTATTCGTATTAGAATTTAAATGTATTCGTTAGAATTTCAGATAGAATTTGTTCATTTTACCTTGTTTAAGCCATAAGTTGCGTCGTCTAATAATACGGCTGGTAGTGTCGGTTTTAATAACGTGATAGGTGTTCTAAGAGGCGGTAAAGAAGTAGGATCGTATTTTCCTATTACGCGTACACGGTTGTAGATGGACGTACAAAACTTTCTTATACTTTCAGGGGTATAATCTTTACGAATTTCCGGAGGAACGTGTTCAACCAATTTGTTTAACTTTTCGTCCCATGTTGAGAAATTACTCAATTCCGATGAGAACTAAAGAAATACATCAAATATTTATTGAACGTCGAGCAATAATTTGATGAAATTATAGTTCCGCATCTTACCTCTGGAATAGTAGTTGATTTGCATATTTTTAATATATCGATTAAAATTTGATCCTGGAATTCCTCTTCTGTAGGAGCTGGGAAACAAATTTCCTTTATGGCTTTCAGGTAAGCGGGAGAACCGTCGATTAAAATTAAATGACCGACTAGAGCTTGAGCTTCTAATTTCCGTGCAAGTTCAATAGCTATCAACGACCCGAAGGAATACCCAACAATTATGAAGTCTCGGCGATCCTTACTTCTATTTAAAACATGCTGAAAAATAAAAAGATTCAGAAAATATGTAATATTCCTTCAGTTCAGTCTCATCTTCGAGTTGTTGAAAATTTAATTAAAATACAAACAGCTACAAGACGTTCCGTCATCCCCTCCACAGATTCATCGTAGTCGTCTATTTTGAATTGTAAACAAGCAGCAGGTAACTTTAAGAATGGCGTTAATGTAGAGAAAATCGAAGCACATCCTTCGATACCCGGTACAAGGAATGCTCCATGCTTCTTTTCTCCATGTTTAACAGGAAGGTCGACGCAATACTCGGTATCTAGTATCGATATGTTTATAGACCTGACCAGTAACTTCATACCAGATATTTTTTCTGTTTTAACGTTAAATTCTGTGGTCTGTTTCTTCTTGCGTTTCTTGGTGTCCTTACTAGACATTTCAATGAGTTTAGCTATGTTTAGACCTCGAATGTCTTGTGCAGTTAAGAATACTTCAAAGTCTCGTTCCAAAGTTTGTTTGATTTCTACAGCCATCATCGAATCCATTCCAAGTTCAGCCAATGACGAGCTCTGGCTCACTACTTTCAGATCTTTTATACCTGGGGACAGAAAAACAACATAGTTTACGAATTGTGCTTTACATACATATTTAATCATTTAAAAGCGTATATTTACTCATAATGTTCATCACTGCTTCAAGAACATTGCTGGCTTCTTTGGTACTAGGAGATTTCTCTGCAACCACCATGCTAGCTACGATCGGTTTACTTTGCGATAAGAATTTATCCAATTCTTCTAAACACGAGGATACTCTCTGTTGTAACGTTCCACCTACTATAAGTTCCTTTTTGTTCTCCCACATTTCTGCAGCAAGACCAACATCTCCTACGACTCCCCATTGAATCGCCATGCCCGGCAAACCTTCTTCTACCCTCCTTTCGCAGATCCTTTCTAATACAGAATTACCCATACCGTAATTAGTTTGTCCAGGGCTTCCTCTTCCGCAAGAAAGGGAAGAGAACACGACAAAGTGGCGAAGCTTTGGACAAATCTTCCTGGAGACTTCGTCGAGTCTCTTAGTGATTCCAGCCTTCGGCTTCATGATCTCTTCGAAATTCTTTTCGGTTTGATTCACGCACAAACAGTCCTTCAATATAGCTGCAAGGTTGAAGATGCCATCCACGGGAGCCTGTTTCTCTGCCGATCTTAAAGTGAATTCGCAGTCGTTCGTTTTTGACAGATCCACACCAGAAATTAATAGAACTTTTACGCCAGATGATTTCCACGTTTCTATCCTCAGTCGTTGGTATCCATTTTTAATACCACCGCGCGATACTATCACCAAATTCATAGCTCCACGTAGAACCAACCAGTTGATTAATTCTAGACCCAGTCCACCTAGTCCACCCACAATCACGTAGCTCTTGTCGTGTACTGCATTGAATCGCGGATAAGCGAGCACTGGAGTGTTGAACGGTTCTTGCTCTTCTCCGACTTTGATTAAAATCTGTGGGCAGTCAAATTTACATTAGACATTAGAGTCGATATAATTAACTTTTGAATAGAAGACTGTCAGATGGACTTTCATAGAAAGAAAAGCATCAAGAGAATTACCTTCCCGATATGCTTTCCAGCCGCCATGTACCTGATAGCGTCTTCTACTTGGTGTTCCTTGAAACATTTTCTGACTAAAGGTTTCACAGCCTTGGTGTATAAGTGCCTATTCATGAAATTATATAATTCCTCTTGTAGCTCGAATACGATGTCATTCATCAAAGAATCCATCATTACTCCGTGAAAGCTGATTTCCTTTAAGAATGCTTCCATTCCCAGTGGATTGTTAGACGCGAGATCGAACTTACCGATTTCTAAGAAACGACCCCGATTAGTTAAACATCGGACCGACGCCAGAAGCTTGTCCTCGGCCAACGAGTTCAGCACAATATCCACTCCTTTACCGTTCGTCTGTTTCATCACCATTTGTTCGAAACTCGTGTCTCGAGAGTTGCCTATATGATCATCGTCGATGCTAGGAAATGTTTCCCTTATAAATTTTCGTTTTTCGGGTGTTCCCACCGTAGTGAAGACTTCACACTCTTCAGCAAGGGCAACGTTAATGGCAGCTTGACCCACTGCACCGCTGCCACTATGGATCAGCACTTTTTCACCTTTCTTCAATTTTCCAAAATAATATAACGCATAGAAGACTGTGAAATATGCGACTGGGACGGTTGCCGCTTCTTCCAGTGTCCATTTGTCCGGTACAGGCCAAAGGTAATACTTTCGGGGGATAACTAAGTTCGATATTGCCCTGAAAAAGGATGATTCATTTAAATTATTCCATTTGGTGGATAGACACAGTGCAAGCTGAACCTTACTTGCTGTTGACAAATCCCATCACACGTTGGCCATGCGTGTCTATCCCACTGAATTCAAATCCGATAAAATATTCTTCGCTCGGTTTCAAGCCTACGGTGGATTCCATCATCAGTCTTCCACTGGCCATCATAACATCTCTGAAATTCAAGGCCGAGTATAATACCTTGACAACATTGTTGTTCGATTTGTCGCCAAGCTCGATAGAGCCTTGCACCCATTGCACTGAACTCAAGTCACCTCTCACCTGTAGAACAATTTTAAACGAATTTGGGTATATTTGTGAAGTACAAAGTTCTAGATATACATACCCTCACGTGGGCATACCCATGGGGTACCAAAATTGGCTTCAACGGAGGATAAGGTACGTGGCGATACGTGCCCCAAATCTTGCCTGGTCTCAAAATATTAATAGCAATGTCAATGTCAAGCTGTTTGGCATAAAACGGATCGTTCAACGAAAACTTTGGAGCATTCCTGTCCTGAATTATTACTGCCTTTGCTATTTTACCGTGAGGCTCCCTTCTTAAGCATTTGAGCAAACCCAAGGTACCGTTTTCCAGATCACCTTCTCCGACCAATACTAATCTCACCGTTTCGTTATTCGACCGCGTCTCTTCATATTTTAAAGTTTCCTTCACTTTTTCGAGCCAGCTGAACTCGTCGTTGTTCACGAACACGACCACTGTTTTTTGGGGTGGCATCTCCTGTTTTTTCAACAATAGAAGCGTCTCGCCGTTGAAACTTTTCTCTAGCACAATGTTCAGTTTACACTCCTGCAGAAACGAGTAGGTATCGTTGTTGACGATCGCTTCTCGAGCTAGAATGAAACCGTAATCCGTCGTGGAATGTAAAAGTTGCGCCAGAGAATCGAATTTCTTCTTTGAAAAGATATTGTAGGCAGCAGTCATGAAGATGCTACCATCTTGTGGTAATTTATTTGGGTCAATAATTGTGATATCCTCTGGTAGCGATATTTTTTTATATTTGTTAGGCTCTACAGCCAGAGAGATTTTCGGACGAATCAATGGTAAATCTCCCAACACCTTTATAAAGACCGGCGTCAAAACTTCTTCGTCAGGTATAACGTCGTCGTGATTAATCAATTCCATGATTTTTGGATTAGATATTATATTACTTTCTAAAGCAAGATGAGTCGATAGAATGATCATTTCTTCTAACGAGGTTTGTGCTTTGTCACGGTTGGCTACGAACTTGTATTCCTCCAATACTGGAACCGACATCAATTTACGTTTTTGAATAGTATTGGCTTTCAATCCATGTATCTCTATACCGCCAGATACTATAACATCGTAATTGTGGTACACTCGAACCGAGAACTCTGCAAAATATTTTTAGTTAATATATAACATATAACATGTAGTGGAATAACGAATGATTGTAAGCAGTACTTGTAATATACCATTATTGTTATCATCGAATAATCGCACTTTATTAGTATGACAATTCACGTCTATCACCAGTTTCCGTATCGCTGTTGGTACATAGAGAGCTCTGGTATCGAGGCCTAACAATTTAATTTGTAACATATTGTCCATAAATGCAGCCCAGTTTTTCAACCAAGTGATACGCCCTCTTGTTCCTTTGATGGAAGCACTCTTCAGAGAACGAAATGGTCCTGAGTAGTCATAACCACGAAGTTTTAATTCCTTATAAATGTCTTTTTCAGACAAGACTTCTTCGTCGTCGATCTCAGTTAAGAACTCGGATGCGATTTTATCTTGCGAAGGCTTGGTCGCTTTACGAATTTTTCCGGATACCACTGTTGTGGACCCTTCTGAGATTTCGAACTGTCCAGAACCTGAGGATTCATTTAATTACAATACAATTATAAGTTGAAAGGATTAAAACTGGCGTTATCATAATATCTAAGAAAATTTACCTCTCTGTACCATTATCGTTAATTGAACGCTACCTTCCGGTGGGATTGTGGTTGCACGTTCAAATTTAATATTTTCAAATACGACCGATAATTCGTCGTACAATTTTCCCTCCAATAAACTAATCGTTTCCCAAACTAAGATTAAATATCCTGTAGCTGGAATCAAATTTCTTCCGTCGATTACATGATGCATCATATATTCATAGTTTTCATCTTTAAGAGCGATTGCAACTGTTCGTTCCGTCGTGGTTATCTTTTGACGCTGCGTATAAACTGGCACGAACCAGTCGTCAGAATGTTCCCATCTGTAACACGATGACTCTCGTTGAATATTTTGTGTTGTTTAGAATGTTACTCGATAGTTAGAGATATCAAAAGTGTTACTTTGTTACTAACTTTATGTAAGGAGAAATCATGGGAGTTCCACGGCTAACAGGAAACTCGACGTGTGGATAAATGTTTGCAAGCTGTGGCTGTAATCCAGCATTGTAAAGCTTTCCAAGAGCTCGCAAGAAGAACTCGGCATTATCTTTGTGACCACGCAGAGTTAATGGTACGTTGATCACGTTAGGATCTAAGGATCTCTTCAAAATCGCTTGTAAGAGACCATGAGGTGCTATTTCGATGGCTATCGCATCATTTGGTATCATGGTTGCGGTTTCAGCGAACAGCACGGAGTTTAACAAATTATTTGTGTGATACTCAGCCGATGAGTATTTGGCAGCTGGCGATGACCATTGGTTGCGCGGCACAGACGTGCTCAACCATTTGGAACTCCTTAGTTTAGATTCGGGTATCACCTTTTTCAAGTATGCTAACAATTTTGGCCCTGCTTCGGCGATATAACGACTATGATAGGCGATGTTGCCGCACTGCACTTCTTTTGCGAAGACGTTGTTCGCCTGAAATGTTTACTAGTAAGAGAACGCAGGATTTATTGGAAAACACGACTTCAGGTTGTGATGTAAATCGAACCTGTAACTTGGCAACAAATTCCTTCATAGATTCTGCTGGACCACTTATGGTGCAACTGTCAGGACCATTGTGACATGCCACTTCGATGTCCGGTGGACACATGTCTTTTATGTCTTCATATCCAAGACCGACAGCCGCCATGGATCCTCGAATCATTTTTGTTTCTTTGCTTACCAAACCTCTGGAATATGCGGAAAGTACCATCTGTTCAGCCGTGAAGCATCCATCGGCGTAAGCGCAACCAAGTTCTCCTACAGAATGACCGATTATGTTGTCTGGCTCGATGCCCACGGCGGTTAACAAATCCACGAGACCAATCTGCACGGCGATCACTTGTTATAACTACGTATAAAAAGCAATAATTTATAATAAAAAAAGGGTGAAATTGTTTTACTTGAATTGCGGCGATTCCAACGAAGCAGTTCACTATATTGTCGAATATCTTTTTATCTTTATTTGTGATGATATCGATAATATCGACACCATGTGGTTTTAAAGCTGCGTCACATTTTTGAATGGCTTGGGCAAAGATGGGGAACCTCATCAACGCTTCTCCTATCATGTTAATAAAATATAGAAACTATTATATACACTTTGTAAGTCTTGTTAGAATTAATAGAAAAGATATATCACAAGATGTACCCATGCCAGGCCATTGAGATCCCATTCCAGAGAATACGAACCAAATCGGTCTCTTCGAGCCCTGATACTCTTGCATTTCTCTTATTGGCTTGTCGGATGTTTTAGATCCCACCACGGTGTATCCCCTGGACAGGTGACCGGATATATTTTTTGCATAAACTTCGTGCAAAAGTCGAATGTATTCTACGTCCACAGGTATACTTTCTATCTGTAAATCAAGTTATCGACAATATTATTTTGATTAATGTACACTACAAATGAAATGAAAGTTTTTATAGTTACATAATCAAAAAGGATTTTCAGTGCTTCTTCGTTACGTCCAGAAGCAGTTACCAGCCTGGGCAAATCATCGAAAGGCGCCCCATTGTTCACCTTCTCTTTGGTATAAGATTTCAGTAAGACATGAGCGTTTGCACCGCCAAAACCAAATGAGTTTATTCCCACGTAGCCACCTTCCCACGGTGTGGGTTCTGTGATTACTTGAACTTTTCCTTCCTCTAAACATTTCACACCCTTTATGGGATTCTTATAGTGTAAGTTTGGAGGAATTATACCAGACTCCATAGCGATCACCATCTGAAAATGTTCCCATATACGTTATTTTTCTTACCTACCTAATTAACATTCGAAAATATTTGAGAATTAGTCGAAATGTGTTTTCTACATGTTACTTATCAGTTTCACACCTTGGCGACCGAACAGAGACCACTGGCAGGCTCCGTGTGTCCCATGTTCGATTTAATAGAACCTATTTTAAGGGGCGTTTTTCTCCCTTCACAGAAGATCGTGTTAATGGCGTTCAATTCTTCGGGATCACCGACACTGGTGCCAGTGCCATGAGCCTCCAGATAAGAAAGGATCGTTGGGGACATCTTGCATTCGCTATAGAAGTCGCTGAGAAGCATCTTCTGCACCTCGCTGGAAGGAAAGGTGATACCTTGTTCTTTGTAACCATCGCAGTTCGTCTTGGTGTGAACAACCTGGCAATAAATTCTTTTGGCATGTTTCGCTTTCTGCAGTATGACAACGGTGATAGCCTCGCTTCGTACGTAACCATTAGCACTGGCATCGAAAGTCTTACAGCGACAGTCGTTGGAGAGTACACCTAAAATTTCGATACTGTTACAATAATATTCATTTTTCACACTTATATTCGATAAGTTGTGCATACCAAGACGTGAGAATTGTAGCGATACGTAAGGATGAAGACAAAGATTCGAGCCACCGACGATCACCGTGTCGCAGATTCCATTCCGTATCATTCTGTAACCGTGATCTAACGCGTATAAACTGGAACTGCAGGCTGTATCTATTGCATAAGATGGACCATGTAAACCCAGAAAGTAGGAGATTCTGTTAGCGTACATGGCTCTGCTGCATCCAGTAATACCAAAGCCATTTGCCTAAAAGGAATTACAGTAAGGATCATTGATGAATTTTATGATATAAAGAAAAGGAAAGACATGGGAAAATTAGCGATATTTACTTGCAATTTCTCGTAAAACCACGTTTTCTCCGACTCACTGATGCAAGAACCTACAATAACGCCGGTATTGGTTCCTCTGAGTTGTCTAGGATTTATTCCTGCATCGATGAGTGCTTCGTAGCTGTGTTCCAACAGCATCCGACACATGGGGTCTAGCGTATGCGCTTGCTTATAATGGACTCCAAAAAAGATCGCGTCGAACTTCGACAAACCATTTACTTTGCCGCCATCCCGTGGAATTTCTGCGTGAACTGTTAGAAAGTATAAAACATCTCTCTTTATTTTTCATATATGAGGAAGAGGAGAGTAAGCTTGTTCTGATCGCTACCTAATAATACTAATATTTATTCGTCTCAATGACATTTTAAGAGTTATTATGTCAATTACCTAGCCTCCATCGCGAATAATTCGATGTGATCAGATCCTTCTTGCTCATCAAGTTTTCTTCCAACTCCTTCACGTTGTCACTTTCTGGAAATCGACCAGCGATACCTGTAATTACTACCTCTTCACCAGGTTCTGTCGCCGCGTAATTTATCTCCATAGCGTTCACTTGCGTGTTCCAGCTCATCTTCTCTGATTGTCACTTTCAAAAAAATATCACCGTCTTTCGATGGTTATCTTCTTTAGTTCTTCAAGTATTGCTCGATGTTAATAGAATGATACCGACGGGTGTAAAACAAACACCGTACATACGTGATACTTAAACTTTTAAGTACCTAAAGGTATCACCAACGATTCCACCGTGATATCGTTCATTCATGCGATTGTAGATTAGAATAATTAGAAAAAATGTCGGGGAAACTTAGTGTACGAAATCAGAATCACAAAAGTTCATAACGAGGAACCTTTGACACAATTGAAACTCGAAAAAATTTAGTACGAACCGATTAAAAAGAATGAAAGTACTTAATCGGTATCACCAACAATTCAAACGACGGACCAGTTGTGCTAATGACGACCGGAGAAATTGGAAAAGACTTTTATAATAATGTGTTTCCCCTCCACCTAGGGCTATTGTAATGCTACTGTTTTTTCTCTGAATAATTTTTGAATTTCATCTACATAATGATTTTTAGTTGAAATGACCTTTCCGAATCTGTATCGATTAAATTCGTCGGGCAACGAGTAAAGTAACCGAGAGATGGTTACTTCAACTGGAAGGAAGGAAAATTACGTATGTTGTAGCATATGTTATAAATGAATAGTATGTCTACGTATTGTTTGGTGAAAATGAAAGATTGATTTGTTTTACATTGAAAGAAAATTTAAATTTAAAATAGTAATGCAGGGGTTGAAATGAGAACAAGTTCATATTTTAATACTTCTATTTATTAATTAGAATTTTCTGCAAATAATTTTTACCTCGTTAGTATTAAAGATTTTAATTTTTGCAGTTATTATTACTCGAATAGTTTCAATGAAACTGTTCAACTATTGTTCTTATTCATTACGCAAACACATTGTTACACCAATGGTCATTAATAATTCAAAAATTATTTGTAATTCAAACGCAATAAAAATCATTTGAAACGCATCTTCAAATGAATGGATAATTAAAAATTTTTCAAAATGTGTTTGAACATATCGAAGCAGGAAGTCCGGTAGCGGAATCATCCATTATTACAAAATCCGATTCATAGATATATGCTAAATGACACCAAACTTTTAAAATAGTATCAGAATGGTATTTTGAATACTAATCACTGCCTGTCAATGAGTGTTTATCGAATCGTATTCAATGCCCCTAATGAATATTCGTTAGTTCGATGAAATCAAATGTCAAGGGTTCGCCGGATATCGCATTACTCTACATAAATATATGCCTCGTTAGTACTCTGAACTGCATTAGCGTTTTGACACTCGTACAAATTTATTGTTCTATAATGTTATTGATAGGCTATTAAATCATAGGTACTGTTACTTTTATGCAGAAAAAATGCAATTACAAATCTTTTTTTATTTGCATTAGTTTTCTTTGTTCATCTACGTAAATAGAAAGGAAAAAATTTCATTCATTTGTTCATTACCACGCATAATCAATAAAGGATGGCAGGGATGGTAGTAACCCTACCCAAGTAATTTACATAACAAGGTATATTTTTAGTATTATAAAATATATGTATCTTCTATAAGTCTTTATTCCTATCAAGAATAGAGTTTTCAATTAAATTACGATATTACAAAAATGTCTTTAACTTAAAAGATTAAAAAGAAAAAAAAATATACGTATGAATATATTATTGTCATATTAATCGTATCTTTTCAATAATAGTATTATTATATTAATCAACATATTACTTAAATCTATATGTATTTATCAAGTACCAAGTATCAACTTTATGTTCTATAAAAATGTAGACTATTATCGTTGAGAAAGTTCAAAACTTACAAAAAATAAAAACAATTATTTTTTCGAAATGTATAAATATATCAAATTTGGTTGACTAATACTAAATAGTACTATATAAATCTTTTGTTATATCAAACATTTGAGATCCCATCATGTATGTATGGTCGTTTTACAAAAGGAAAATGCAAAATAAAATTAAATGTTAATCGGTGCGCAAAAAAAGATTTTGTACAATCAAAAACATTCGGTACATTCCATCAATTATGCATTGACGTTGACATTACGTATTGGCAAGAATGTACAAATTAAATTAAAAGTACGAAATGGTTAAGTAACATGTAATTTGTAACGTGCTTGTTACGGCTTACTTTTTACGACTTTACTTTCCTTAATGGTTACTACGTGTTTGCAGTCTTGATCTCGAGTTCTTTTGTAATTCCTCTACAGTAGAACGAACGACGAACAGGATATTTATGTTTAATATCAACGTTTATCAGTACTTAGTAACACCAGCGAAATGTACTCTCTTCCCTTGTCCGTCTAAATCTTCCATTAAGCTTGATGTAAAACTGAACTCTGAACTGCTTTCGTCATCTTGTATCCTGCAGAATGAAATACGCATAAGTCTATTCCGTATTTCTTCAATTTGTAACATTAAATTGTAAAAGTTCATAATGACATACAAGGTTTCTAAACTCGTAAGACTGCCATTGCTGTCTGGTATATTAGAAGGACCTTCTATTTGTAGCAATTCTAAGAAAGAATTAATGGTTGCTATGTAAATTCCTTTTGATTCAGACATTCCTAAATAACGAGGACTAGATAATTCGATTAAAACTCGTTCTGGATTTTTTGTCGGTGAGGTGTATGCATCTTGATCGAGTTTTACAATTTCCACGGATGAAAAGTGAATAATAAACAAGTATGGTTTACGAAATGCTACAGGAAAACATAGAACATTTATAATTAATACACGAAATTGTTATTATATCGAAAAATAAAATCGTTTCAGTATTATTTACCAAAAGCAAAAGGTAAATGGTTCCACATTGGATCGATGCATCGAGTTCTTTGACCGGTTTCATTCACAAACATTCCAAACTCGTTATAACAAAGTAAAAGCTCTATTTTTCCAGGTACAAGAGAAACGTTCAAAACACACACGGGAAAGATACCTAATTTAGCTACTCCTGATAGCGCAGCTTTAACTGAACTATCATCTGCTTCTGGAAACTCTGTAATATTGAACAGAATTCATGAATAAATAAATCTCTGCAGGTGCTTGATTTTCTTACGTACCATCGACACAATAGCTTCTCAGATCGATTTGGAAGAACTTGTTGCATCCTACTACCAGAACATTTTGAGTAAATATGGCACAGCTGCATGGCTCAGATGTTTCAAGTTCGCGTACACCAACAAATTCTCCTCCTTCTTCCTCGGTGTACCATTTAAGTAATCTATAATTAATGAAAAATTATATAAACTATAATTTTTAAAGAGACCAGATAAGTCAAGTACACAAAACGTACATGACGTGAGTTGCTGTAGCGGCGCAAAGCATATCTCTTTGTAACTGATATAAATGACAACTATCAGTGCCAGTTAAAACTGGGTTTGTATTAATTGCTGGCCTCGAACACTCAGCAGCTACTGCGTTACTCTTCAATTGTCTCAGATTACAAGATACCAATTGCCTATTTTCGCCGGCTATCATTAAAGCTATTCCCAAATGAGGATGCAACGTTAATTGGTGAACCCTCTTTACTCCACGAATCGCTGTAAGCATTCGTGATTTAGCACCGCAATATGAAAAGAGTCCTTCTTCGGCGCCTAATAACAACACATTATCTTCGGGTAGATGTACAGCACAATTCAAATCCAACTGGAAAGAGTTATAATTATTAATAACAATTCAAGAGAGAAAATTATTTTAGCATAAATAAATATTCTGTACCTGATTCTTTTCTAGTCTTAATACAATTTCATATTTTTTACTTTTATAAGCGTTACTCGAATAATTTTGACTAGTAATAGACTTCAAAGCTTTCAACCAATTTTTCTTATCCGTCTGACTTAAAGTCATTACATCTAAACGCGATGTAGGCCAACAGGTCGTGGAAGAATTAGATTCTATCCTAAAGATAAATGGTATATCCGACTTTGCTGTTCCTTGTACATCGGGTTGATGTACGTTTTCTAGTACATTAAATCCATCTTTTTCGACCAAATCTAAACGATTTATGGGTGCCATCCCAGAAGATGGTTGGTGCTCGTAAGTACATAAACATGATCCTTCTAATCTAAGGTACTTTCTTTCCCAACAGCTTTTTGACCGCTCTGGAACTTTGACCCAACTTTCCATTGATACATTATTACCTTTATCTTGTGCGTTGCATATATCCGTATCAGGTTTATCCGGTTGATCTATATTTAACGTTTGAACACTTCCAGATAAAGATGACAAGCTGTCATTGCTATTCCTCCAACTTTTGCCGAATTGTTTAGCGAAACCGCCCGGCAAACCGCAAGTGGCGGGAACAGTAACAGCACATTTTAAGTGCGTCATTACTGCGCATTCACTGCAAATAGCCGCACGTTTACCGAACTGAATAGGATCTAAACACGCGGAGCATTTCCCAGCCCTCATAGGTAAACTGACATCGAAACGATGTGGAATATTATGTCCAATTCTTTGGGGCGATAATCGTTTGGATAACGAGTCGACCGATTGTTCAGAAATATAATTTGTATTCTTGATACTCTGTGCTGAAGGAGACGTAGGGGCAGAGGTTGAAGCATGCATAGCTTTAAGCGCTAATAATTGATCAGTTAACGTCTTAACTTTAGCACGTTCTTTAGTTAACTGATTCTCTAATTCGCGATACCCAACTGGCATACCAGTACCACAGGGCGGAACATTTTCTTTTTGTTTAGTACCAAGTATTTTATTGCATACTGTTTTCTTCTTTTTGCTACATTCTTCTAATTTGAACTGCAAATAATCGATCAGTTTTGTCTGCTGTTGCCTTGTACTTTCAGCTTTTACTTCTCTTTCTTGATAGAATTGCCGCATTTCTTCCAAGATGCTTTCCAATTCGGAAATTCTCATTCGAAGCTCCTGTCCCTGATCTACGCTACTCTGCAAGTCGTTCATAAGCATGGTGTTTGCTTCTTTCAATTCGTGCACTCTTGTTAAGTGTTGGCTACTTTCTTCCTTGACAACTCTCGTTTCAGCTTTGGTCACTTCTAAATTACGTCTCATTTCAGAAAGATCACATTCCAATTCACCGCACTTACTTGATAATTCATCAACCTGTGCACTCAATTCTTGAACAAGCTTTCTATACTGATCTCTTTGAGCAAGTAAACCGTTCTTTTCACTTTCTATATCGCTCGTCTCCGATTCAAGTCTTTCGATGTTACGTTCCGCAGCTAATCTCATAGATTTTTCTTCATTTTGCGCAGCACGTGCTTCGCGAAGTTTAGCTTCAGTTGCTTCTAAATCTTTTTGCAATTTCATTTTATCTTGAATCAATATATTTTCTCGCGTTTCATGATCGCTAGTTAATCTTTCGTAATCAGTAAGTTGCTCTTCAAGAACTGTACATGTTTCTTTTAGAAGTTCAGTATTTAATTCGTAACCTTTGATTTCTTGTTCTAACTTTTCTATTCTAGATTCCAATGCACTCTTTTCTTCGTTATGTTTTGTAATTGATTGTGACAAACGCTTATTCTCAGCATTTAAACTTTCCAGTCTATCTTGACTTACCCTTACTTGTTTTCGAGCAGCGTCTAATTCTCTGCGCAGCAAAGCACTTGAAGATTGAAGTTCTTCTATCTGATGATTAGCTTGAGTTAGCGCCTATAATAAATTAAAATAGAATAACAAAAAAATTACAAAAAATCAAGCAATTAAAGTAATTTATTAGTTAAGCTGATTTAAAAGAAAAATAACAAAAATATTTACTCGTTGAGCAGAATCAGCTTGCATTCTGTTTCTAGAAGATTCTTTTGTTATATCGTTTAATGATGCTTTTGCGCTGTCTAATTCTTTAAGCAATTTTTTGGATTTCTCTTCTTCTTCTTTTATTTTGTCATCTAATTTCATTGATAATTTTTGTTTTTCTTCTTGCAATATTTTAACTTTCTCCTCTGCCTTTTTATTTGACCTTATTGCAATTCTCTTATCTAAATTTGCATCCGATAATTCTTTTTCTTTCTTCCATAAATTAATTTGTGCTTGTTTCACGGCTTGACGTTCTTTATTTAAATCCTCTTTTGTCGTTCGAAGTTCCTGTTCTAATTTTTGTATGTGTTCCTCTGACAGAATATCACGTTTTATCGCACCACTTGTTGGCACCATGCCAATACTAGGTTCTATATTTTCCATTTTGAGATTAGCATTTTCTGTTTCGAGTTTAGTAACGCTTTGCTCTAAGCGTCTTAATAATTCTTCTAAATTACCGACTTTTCGCAAATGTTCTTCTACAAATAGATAGAGTTCAATTAAATTTTTGTTAGATTTAATAGTGCTAACAAATTTTATTTATTAATAATACCTTCTTTATCGAGAGAATCTTGTAGTCGTTTTTGGAGCGCAACTTTATCTTGTGTAGCTTGTTCTAAATTTAAAGCAAGGTTTTCATTTTGTTCTAAATTCATCATTGTTTCACTTAAGTCAGACTTCATTACCTTTAAACAGTATTTACATTAGGAAGATAAATAGAAGTTAATGAAAATGGACAAGTAATTTTTAATTTAGAATTGTATTAAAAGGGTGAATACCTCTAACTGTTGTTTCAATTGTTCATTCTCAAGTCTTGATCGCTCCAATTGCTCTTGCATTGTAGCTACTATCTGTTCTGATGCTATAGCACTATCTAATTGTTTTGATCTTTCTTGTAATTGTTTTTTTAAAACGTCTATTTCAGCATCTCTGGCAGGTATTGTAGCTTGTATTGTACGTAACTGTTCCTGACAGTCCTTTAATTCATTTTGTGCAAACTCTAAAGCTACATTTAACCGTGATTGACGGCAATGATTAGAATCTTGTTCATTTCGTAGTTTAGTTTCCAAGTCAGTATTTTTTGCTGTTTCTAAATCTAATTTCGATCTAAGTTCAGCTAACTGATTATGTGCTCTTGCAGCTATTTCCTTCAATTTAGTTTCAACTCCTTGTGCACTTTGCCGGTTTAATTCTCTAGTTTTAACTAGCGACTCTTTATATTGCATCTATTAAAACATTGGTGTAATTTTATTGTTCCCTTAATAATGATATATCCATGTGTATACATACTACTAACCTGAAACACTCGAAGTTTATGCAATTCTGCATTTGCAGTTTCGAGTTCACATTCAGTCCTTTGTAATCTTGAACTCATTTCATTATTACTAGTACATAACTCTGTAATTCTTACAGTTTGCATTTCAATATGTTTATTCAGTTGTGCAATTTTATCTTTTTCCGCATTTTCCCATTTACGCTTAGCATCTTTAATCAAACTGAGAGCTCTAGTCTCCAAATCTCTTCTCTCTTGCCGTTCTAGTTCTAGCAATATAGAATGTTTATCGCATGTAGTTTTTCAATGTATATATACTTATTAAATAATTTTTAAAAATTAAATAAAAAAAAAGCACATATTAGAATAATACATATTAAATATAAATGTAGTCATGGGCTAATTAAAAATATTCTCCATGATCTTATTGATTAATGTAGTAGTTTTCAAATTTAACAGATGTTCAGATTCAAGGAACTGAAGATAATTTTATTGGCAATTATTTGTTTAAACATTGAGTATATACATTACCTAATGTTCTTTTTATCCCAGTTAATTCTGATTTCGTGGTAATTAATTCCTTTTCAAGTATATCTCTTTCCTTACTAAGTGCTTCTAATCTTTTTACTCTTTCCTGAAATTGTAATTCCATTTTGTAAATTATTAGTTGTTTGAATTAAGAATTAATAATAGGACAATTATTTTTAAATTACATTGGTACATAATAAATGGTAGATTCGTAGGAAAAACCTAATTTTTAAACATATATATACATTTATGTAAACAACTTGGCAAATTGTTAATAGTATGATACAGAGTATAGAAGATCTGCGCGAACAAAATCGGCGGGAACGTTTTAAAACGATTGTAGTAAAAAGTGGATGAATTTAAAACTGAACAGTAATAAAGTTTTTTTCATGTCATTCATCTGTGTACTCTGATGAATCTGTGATAATTACATATACTAGAAAGTATATATATATATATATATATATATATATACTTTTTATATATATATATATATATAAAGCAGAATAGTCAAGATAAAATGCATAATGCATATATCAGTACATATAGCATAAAGAAACTGTTATGTCATATAATATGAACCTTTAATTCAAATATTTCCTGTTTCTTCTCCTGTAATTCTTTCTTTTTAAGATCTAACTCTGCTTCCAATTCGCTCTTTTCTTTGGAATATTTTTGATACTGCGCATTATTATGTTTGTGAAATTTAAACTCAAAGAAAGACGAACATTCTTTTGGGACATCTTTGGAAAGATCATCAGATTCTGATGCAGGAATGTTTCTATCACCACCTATAAATTCAAATATATCACAATTAGTAAAGGAATTGATGCCATTACAATTTCCATTTTGCAAACTTTACTTAGACTTTTTCGAAGACTTGCTAAATCACATTTTGCTGCATTTAATTCTTCTTCCATCTTTTCTTTTTCTTTCATGGAGGTTTCCGTCTTTCTTGTGCTTTCCTTCGTTTGAGTCTCATATTCGGAAGACAATCTTTTTCCACAAACCTTTTTATAACGCTCCTGAAATTCTTTCCCTCTGTCTTCAAAATCCATTCTCTTTACTACTCATTTGTTACCTTTTTCAATGGTTTTTTTTATCGCCTATTCTCATTAGCCTATTGAAATATTTGATCAAAGATATTTTTATCTCATGATATTTAATATAGTCATTTCATCGACTAGATTAACTGGGAAAATCAAAACTGGTAATCAAAATAAATTCGATATAATTTAATCGAGGATACATTGAACTTCTCGCGTGTGCACTTTGTAAGTCTCAAAACTTCTTAAGGTTCCCGTGTTTTATAAGTCGTTTTAGATTAATAACACAATAATCAAAGTTTTATTTGTAGTAAATTAATTAACTTTCGTGTATTGTTACTCATTATAAAAATATATTTACGAACATACGTTTCATTTATACACGACCGTATTTATAACGGTTGGGGGGCAAACTCCATATCTGTAATTCAAAATTTTGTTTGACGCTAAAAAACGATTAATCGCGATAGATGGTGCTACGATCACCGAAGAGTTCTGCCCTCTTGTATCCAGAAAAGAAAATTAAATAAGTCCTAGTGTTTCTTCAGTTTTCAAATAATAAAGTATATTAAATATAAAATATTGACCAAATAAAGTTTAGTAAATTCAATTCAATTTCACCTATGTTGATTTTAAGGTATCGAAATTAAAAGATTGAGTTGGCAAAAGTAAACCAAATTCGAATTTTCTGCCAGCGCCAATAATCCATTGCGTCGAGAATGGATTTTGAATCTGTTTTCTATATATTCAGTGGTCAAAGCACGGAGTGGGAGTGTGTCAGTCCTAGATGCTGTGATGGATGAAGTTTCATCAAACGGTATGTCTTTTTCGCCAAAGTACAGTTTTATTTTTGATAAAATCAACAAGACTTATAGCGTAAAGTGTACAACGTTTCGAATGTTCTATACGACAAATAAATTGATCGATGATTTCCTGTGCGCGCTTGACGCTCTGTGAATCGCGTGGGCGTCTTGCCTTTCAAGTTTTCTGGCCCACGCTTTTCACAGGATTTTATTTACGGGTTCTTTAGGATTGTGTTTTTCCGACTCTGTACTCATACTGGTACATTGTTTCAGATAATATTTTATGAATTCGGTGTTACATCACTTTCATTGACAAACTTCGATCACCTCGGAACAATTCAGTTTATTGTCAGCTGGTTGATAACTACTTTTCCAACGCTTACCTAATGTCAACCGTGAATCACGTTTCCTTCGTACTATACGTCCCTGACGCACTCTGTTTTTCGCGTAGTTGCGCTGTATTTGTTTCTGTAACTTCGACAAGTTAAAATATTCGAAATTTAATACTTCATAAAGATAACCATACTATAGCCAACGTTCTACGAAAGTCACGTAAAAAAAGCATGTACCCATATGTATGTAAATACATGGCATCAAGCGAGCGCAACATGTAAAAAATATCAAAGTGAACAAATTAAACGTAACGTTAAGAAGGCAGAGATTTGTAAAAAAAAAATGTGATTTTATTTTCAAATTAAAGTGCATTGTTTTTAAATATTCTTTAGACTTGAGAAGTGGGGACAGTGGAGGGACACTAACTTGTGCTGGGTGTCTCAATGCAATTGATGAAGATGAATTTATACAGGCACTAAATCAAGAGTGGCACATTGATTGTTTTCGGTAAAAACATTAAAATATTATTGTAAATTTATTGATTAATAAAATCTATACATAATTAAATCACTATATTTACTTATTAAAACTAATTAGACATTACATATTTCAGGTGTTCAGCATGCGATATCGGTTTGTCTTCATGGTATTTTGAGAAAGATGGGTTACTGTTTTGCAAGGATGATTATTGGGCTGCTTATGGAGAAGCTTGTCAAGGATGTGGTCAAATCATCACGGGTCCTGTCATGTTGGCAGGAGATCACAAATTTCACCCAGAATGTTTTGCCTGCAACTCTTGTGGAGCTTTCATCGGAGATGGAGAAAGTTATGCACTTGTTGAAAGATCCAAGCTTTATTGTGGAAGTTGTTATAAAAGACAAATGCAACCAATTAATAGGATAGCTAATTATCCATTTACCAGAAAGCCCCATAGTATTAGATTGGTAGAAATACCTCCAAACAGTTCTGACCCTGCAAAACAGAGGGGAATCAAACTGACAGTAGACACAACACCTAATCCTAGAAATTGTGGTGCTTTGCTTCGTATATCCGAGTAAGTATGCAATACTATTTATTATATATTTTGTCTCTTGTGTGTTATACTTTCTACTTGTATTTTTATTTTGTTGGACAGTAAAGTGGTGAAAGTGAATGGAATCAATAATTTTTTATGACAGTTTATAAAAACGTGCAAAACGAATAAGTAATGATAGCTTTAACTAATTGAGATATTTTATTTTAGCATAAAATATTAAGTAAAAGTAGAAAATATTGATATTTAAAGAAATTTGATCTGTCATTAATTACGAGATTATATTTAATGGAGCTTTTCTATGATATTTAACTGTGCATGAGTATGGTTAATTAAGAATCAATATAGATGCACTGCCTCTAATAACTTTGAACTAAAATACAGGTTAATGAGAAATGTTCGTGGAAAGATCAGTAAGCTGCTGGCCTCTGTGATGGAGGTTCTGTTTAGGCTATGCTGCCACTTCTCTAATCATAGGTACAGCATAATAAATAAATAATATGCACTAGATATTGTATTTTTACAATTTAAATGTGTGTCTTTTAGTATTTGCTATTACTTGCACGCAAAATATATATCTTGTGCAAAATAGTTGTTTCATATGTAATGTTACCTGTTTATTAATTATGTGTTACGTGTTTGTAGGTATATAATGTTCATAATGAAGTGACAGTTTATGTATTTAAGAATAATAATATATTATGTTAATTCCATTTAATGTTTTTATATGCACTTTTGTCACTATATGTTTCTACTCTATACACATTCATATTTATCTCATAAATCAACATTTTATACCTTTTATCTTTTTTTATTCTTTTATATTTGATATTTGGAATGTATTTAATGATTTATCAAATATTCAAGATTAAAAATAAACATGCAATATTAGTTTTACTCTTTAGTTTTGCTCCTAATTTTTATTTTGTCATGATAGTATCGAATGCACGCAGTTTTGCATGTTTGTCATACATAATGTTTATAAACGTTGTAAATATCACATGAAATCTGTTACAGACTGAATATGTCCAGTGATCTCATATCTCTACACATTGGTGACCGAATACTGGAAGTGAATGGTACTCCGGTTAAAGATCAACCAATAGAAAACATCGAAAATCTCATACAATATTCGGATACGGTTTTACAGGTAATTCTACATTTTATAAATAAATTTTGTTTTAAATACTGTGCAAGTATGAATTCATAGATGACACACGGTAATAAACATAAAAACATGAATATAGAAACAAATGTTACGAATTTTCCAGTTGACCATCGAGCACGATCCAGATGCGGTATCACGACAACCAACATTTTCCTCGCCATCTGCGGCGATGTTGACGTCAATTGTAAATCCGCGAACGAGTCCCGAAAATAAAGAACGTTTATTTAAACGTCGCGATGAGGGTTACATCAGTGGAACGCGAAGCAGACAATTGCGAAGAACAAAAGATCCTATGCACAAAGAACGTAGTAGTTCTATGTCAAGATTACTTGATGGGTAATTTCAATAGAATTATTTATGTTAATTGATAAATAAAAGTCACGATGTATGACTTTAAATTTAATATTTTTTTTTTTTTTCAACGTTATTAAAGATCTTCACCAACAAATGCTACATGCGACTTAAGCAGAACTAGATCATTTCGTGTAGAACCAAAGAATCAAAGAATATTCCGTGCCAGTGATCTAGTGAAGGGTGAGCTATTAGGTACAGGATTTTTCGGGCAGGTATTTAAAGTCACTCATAGGGATACAAACGAAATCATGGTGCTAAAAGAATTATACAGAGTAGATGAAGAAGCCCAAAAAAATTTTTTAAAAGAGGTGAGTTTTATATTTCATGCGATAATGTACTTTAACGCATCAATTTATTATTATTATTTTTTTTTGTTTGATTTTGTTTTCCTTGAATTGAAAACAGGTTGCCGTATTACGTTCGTTACATCACAACAATGTTCTCCGATTTATCGGTGTCCTTTACAAAGACAAAAAGCTTCATTTGGTTACCGAATACATAGCAGGGGGGACTCTAAGGGCTCTGCTACACGACACCAGCGAAACCTTGCCATGGGAACAGCGAATGTCGTTCGCCAAAGATATTGCCGCCGGTATGGCTTATTTACATTCCATGAATATCATTCACCGAGACTTAAATTCGCATAATTGTCTCGTTCGGGAGGATAAGACTGTGGTCGTGGCCGATTTTGGCTTGGCCCGAATAATACAAAATGGCAATTCCCCGGACAATCGTAAATACAGCAGACATTCCGACGGAGAGGTGAAAACTTCGAAGAAAGAACGAAAAAAAAGGTACACGGTGGTAGGGAATCCATATTGGATGGCTCCTGAGATGATGAAAGGTAACAAGTATGATGAAAAAGTTGATATATTTAGCTTTGGCATCGTCGTTTGTGAAATTATTGGCCGTGTTCAGGCAGATCCCGATTATTTGCCACGGTCTTCGGATTTTGGTCTCAATCAGAACGTGTTCAAAGAGAAATTCTGTGCCAATTGTCCAGAAATGTTCTATAGGATCGCTTTTCTTTGCTGTGATTTGAATCCCGATAAGAGGCCACCTTTTGAGGTAATGCAAGTTTGGTTGGATGGTCTGGTAATGCATTTATCGATGGGTATAGAATTGCCATCAGACTTGGAGATTGATATTAAAAATTACACGGGACCGAGTACAAGTACAAGCGAGTCGACGACTCCAGAGACACTTGCACCGCAACTGAAACCTATCAAGGAAGGTCAGGTGCATCAGGAAAAGAAACGGTGTAGTGGTTGCGACGATAGTACATTAGAACGCGAAGATATTGTGCAGAGTAACATTAAACTTCAGGTACCTGACGTAATCAGTACTCGAGGAAGGTATACAAGACAGAACAGCAAGACAAGTGAATCGTCTGGAAGTACGGGTCGTTATTCCAGACAAAACTCGAGGTCTAAGGAAACACCGATTGAGAAGCCAGATATAGTTATATCTCCGGAATCTAGTGCGTTCACAGGTTGCTTCACGAGGCATAATACCAAATCGAATGAACCATCCCCGCACTTTTCCAGAAACAAACAAGACTCGTACGTAAAACGAAACGATCAAACGGAATGCAATTTGAAACGAATACCAACTATCGAGAAAATAAGGTATGTGGGTAAAGCCAGTCCGTGTTGTCCTTTATCGAACGCACCCGAATATATTATCGATAACAAGTGTTCATACAAAGTGAATAATAGTTCGAGTTCTATATCGTCGGAAAAATCTAATGATAATCATTCGACTGGCAGTGGCCATTCAAAGACAAAGCTGGAAAACAAGTTTAAAATGTTGGACGCTAACTCGGTCAGCTCCTACTTGAGACAAATTGGGAAATCTATGAACGTGATAGAGAAAGAGAGCAAGATCGACGGTCAAAACGATAGTAACTCGAGGAAGACAAGCACTGAAAACTCGAAACCATCATCAGGTTCTTACTTGAGAAGAACAAAGATTTCTCCCACAAAAGAATCGCCAAAGAATGCATTCTCGCCACAAAAAAGTATTCAATCGTCCGAAGCTAGTACTTCGTTGCAATCAAAAGGAGCTACTAAGACGGAAGAAATCACTGAAAGTAATGCCACAAACGACAGGATAACGAGGCAGGAAAGCAACGTCTCGGATATTGGTAGTATTTTGTCCAGGGAAGGAAGTCTCACGATATTGGATTGTACAACGAAACATAAAGATGCAACGTACAAAGATTATTCGGCTTTTAATACCTCGCAAAACAACAATTTTCACGAAGAGGATAATTCTCGAAAAAATACTGTTCTCCACTATACGGATAGCCTTCGTTCAAATTCGAGTCTTTCTAAAAACGATGATCTACTCAAGTGCAATATACTGAACGAAACTAAAATAGATGACACAAAAGACTGCACCACTTCCATCCAAGATTGTACAGAGTCCAATGATTCTAAGGAACCAGTAATCGATATGAAGACCATGTACGACAATAGATTGCCTAATCCTTTAACGGAGTATAGCGGATGTTACAAGAATCTGGACCTATGTAGACAAGACAGTTTTGGGTCGGATAGCGCAGTAGGTACCATGAAGAGCGATTTTTTCGCGGACCTAGATTTTGTTCAGTTAAAAGACGGCAGGCATACACCGGATTTGTGCCATACTCCCGAACGGTGTTGCACGCCTAATCGAGCAGCATCACCGATAGAGAGCACAGCTTTGTAAAGTTGTGGCATCGAAATATCCTCTCTTCAACGAAATGCATTTCCCTTTGCTAATTCGTCCTCTATACATTTAACTGAAGATCCGATAACTTAACGACTTAACTCATTAATGCAAAAGTCTGTTTCTACTGGAATCTGTTATGACGTTGCACAACTGCGCGTACAAGTATTATTAACGATTTGATGTCCAGTATTAATGAATCTTACTGCTTTTACTTTCTATGTGTTTTAAATTGGAATGTGCGGGTAGACGAGTGCGTTGGGTACTTGAGTTGTTGAGATGAGTTGGAAAAGCCGAACGGGGGGATTCTGGAGTTGAATCGAATCTTGGTATTGGGAGAATTCGTCCGTATCGGAAATAATGGAACTATTGCAAAGCAATCGAATTACCCAGTCGAAGGTTCGTGTATCTTCGAACCTGTTCAACTTTACCTGACTTAAGGCTGAAGTGCTTGGTACCCATACATGCTTTATTTCGAAGCATTTGAACGGCACAATCAATGACATGTTCAAATGACTTTTTCACAAAAAAATTTGCATTCCTGCAATATCTTGCCTAGTGCGGTTATCATAAGAGGGAAATTAAGTAATTAAAAGACTAACAAAAGCATTCCATCCAAAATCGGTAGAGCTAAACGTGTGCTTTGGAAGTTCGAAAATATTAGTATTATACATATACACGAATGAGTAATGTATTCTTGGTAACACTGAATATCAGACTACATCGGTGAATCTCCGTTTTGTTTTACTTATTTTCTTTGATCTACAGGATTATATTTTAAAGTTGTAAACATAATGTAGAGTCAGTTTGTAGAATAGATTGTAAAAAAAGATGATATTCTTTAATAGATATATATGTACATCATACTGTAAAATATTATCCACATATAACATGGTGGTGTGCATGTACAGGTTATTGACATGTATAAATTTAAACTCATCAATTATATCTTTGTTATTTGTTAGAAGACAGAATTTTACTTGTTCGATATTAAGTTTTATCTTATATCTAATTCTGTCTGATATTGTACATTGCAAACTAAGGACGACTTTGTGTTTATTTATTATATCAATTTGATAAATTGATGCTTGCATATACTGTATCAAAGATATAAATGATGATAAAATAGTATGATGTGTATAATATAAAGAATGTACATATAGTTTTGTATATATATATTTCAACATTCGTCATGTTCAAAACACTGTTTATAGAACATATACATATATTTAACAGTAAAAAGCTTTATATTGATAATGTAGAGATGAAAGTTCTTTTGATACTATTAAAAATTGTATTTTTATTCTGTTACATTTTAATCGTAAGCCAAACGTTCCCTAATTTTATTAAGATAAAATGCAAAACAGAATACAGTATTCAGTATTGCAATTATAAATGAATTTTGATTCTGATTAAATAATATTAGAAGTTTGTTTTATAAAAAAAATAGTTCATTAGCATTTCCATTACTCATGCGTTTTGTATTCAGCAAAAGAAATTATTCAGTGTTTTTTTCAACTTTTATTTTGTATGATTGCAACCCTATTAAAATCTGTTTCTTCCTATTATCCGAATGATATTTATTATTTAAAAAAACATTTAAATTCATTGCACCAAATAAAAGTTTATTATCTGTGATAAGAAAAAAAGTATTTTGAAGCTGTCTATAATTGAAACATTACATGGAACTAAAGTTAAAGAAGTGTTATTAAGGAAAGAAAACCCCAATTGTTATTTTTCTGTGTAAAGTTGAAACAAATTACTCGTTCTACGACGTGTTAAGAAAAATAAACAGTCTCTTTTAACAATTAATTTCAGCGGACAAAATGCACAATAAATAATGTTACATGTAACTATTGTATTCTAAATGCAAATAATCATGGCTTAAAATTAGAGATACGCGGAATAACTTCTAACGATTTGAAATAATCCAAGCAAAATAAAAACTTTCAATTCTGCTATTCAAGCAACAAATGTAATACGTGTAAACCTGTGAAACAATTGTTACAATTTCACCTAGTATTTTCGATTACAATTTTTCGATGAAATTTTTTAATAAAAACGTGAAGTGTTTTTAATTATTAAAAGCACTATAAATTGTTTATTCACAAACTCGAACGTAAGTTTCTCAAATTTTGGGGCTACTTCAGTCAGATTTTTATCGAAGTCCGGGGTGGATCCAGAAGGCTTTGGATATACGAAACATGGCATATTATATTTCCAATGTTTCTGCACTGTTTGAAATTCCTTTAATATTTTGATTTGATAGTAAACTGAATAGTCGAGACCATAAATAATTCTGGTAACATTTCATTCCTTCTTAAAGAAGTAAGGAGAGAAGTTGATCATCCTTCTCTGGATCTGCCACTACTTTGAACAAGTCAAATGTATGTACACGTATTTAAGAAAATATTTGCGTAGCGAATAACTGTCAACCGATGTATGAATAATTGTTTGCATATGTAAAACATCAAGAAATAGTGGTTACAAAAGGATTTTTCAGTGAACAGTATTAGCCTCGTTATCGTTGCTTACAAATACCGTAGTGCAAGAATAGAAAACTTTATAGATAAGCAGCGGGCAGAAAGAAGAGAACCTCTGAAATTGTAGGTAGACATTATTTTTATAGTCTATAAATTATCACGCTCTCTCTATGTTCGACATTTTTGATGAACAATGCGGGAGCGTTTCTTGACCCCTTTGTAAATTATTTTTCTTCGATGCAGTAGCGAGTATGATAAGATCAAAACATTATTTAGTATAACACTTGGATTAATTTTTGAGACACGGTGCGAAAAATAAATAGATTTTTGTAAGGGAAAATTCTGGAGAAGAAAATTTACGTCTTTAATGCCTAAAACTTAATTAATCGAATAATTGGTGAATTATATGTAATTGTATAGAATATCGAAAAGTCTTTATAACTTTACAAAGTAGTGGTTTTCTTCAGAATTTCTTTCCAAAATTACGAGAAAAGATGGAACATATATTCTTAACAAGCAGCAATAAATACCCAAAAAAAAAAAATATTGGGTAAATATTTGTTGAGAAACGAACAATAATTTTTTACGATTTAAAACGCATTTCAAAAATGGGTTTGTCATTTTACCTATACGATTGAAAATCGTTCCGATTACATATTGCTCAAAATCTTAAATGAAAAATCATTTTTTATAAATCAGCGGTACATATGTATCTATCAGTTCATTGTGAAATTTCAGAATCACTTTTCGTATTCTTATGCGAAAAACAAGCGGTTTTGTTTAACATTATAGTAATACAAAGTGAAAATGGAAAAAATAAATGGTTGAAAAAATAAGCTACTTGTTTTTTTTACGCGAATAAAAATGGTACATAGTAAAAACGGTATTTGAATTCCTTTGATTTTGAGGCAATTATCATCTGTCGGTAATAAAAGATCAACGAAAGGTACCGCGACAGAATCAAAGATGGCAGCACCTGCTGCCTTTAATTTTATTTAAAATAAGACAGCAATTCGAGTCTTCTACCAATTTTTATCGAATGCAGAAGTTCTTTAGAATGAAACTTGGGCTAAGTGTTCTAACAGTATACTAAGGACAGCTCGTAAAAGTTGTAGCAAAAGAATAGAAGCATTGGTCTAACTGGGATTGTTTGAACGAACAGTGTTAACAGTTCACAGCGGGCATGAATAAGTGTTGTTGAAAAATGTGAAAATTTGTAACTTTGAAACATTGAGAACAATGTTTGCTCTATGGGTGACCATTTTAGTTTGCATCTATACATAGTTAAGTCGATGTATACAGAATACGTGACCTAACGGAATTAATAATGTTGCAAGATTATGAGTATCGTCAAATTTTTAGGAGATTTTTCACGGGGTAACAGAAATTTGTCAAGCGTGACCGAAGGAAAGAGCGGTGGTTTCCAGCAAGGAAATTTATGGGTCGCAACGTGTCGACGGAAACCTTAAATTTTAACGTCCCTGTCGCGCACTCGGTTGGGCCCTACCCTGCCTGTTAAGGACCTGGCAAAGGGGGATTATGACTTGACTGGTACGAGCGAGCGTAGAACGGCGAGGAGTGGTTTCTCCTCTCACGGTGGGGGAGAGCTAGAAGTATGGTAGCGACATAGAGAGGAGGAGACGCAGGGAGGTTATGTAGACGGTGCTACAGGAAAAGGTGTAGGGAAGAGGGTGGGTTATGGGGTATAACACGACGAAGAACATCCGAATAAAATAATAATAAACCGCGGATACGTTTCAGCGCGCATCGTTCTTTCTTCCTTCCTGATATTTCGCCTCTTTTTCTCTCTCCGCTTTAACCTTTCCTGTTTCTGCGTTCTCCGAAATGAATGAGTCGAGTCTAACCGTTTGAATGAAACAAATATGATGACTATAGGTTTGTATTTTTTTTTCATTCGTAACTTGAGGCATTTGTCCTGTCGTTATTCGCGCGTTTCTTATTTCTGTCGATAGATGGTGCGACGTAACTGTGAAGTCGGTGAATACGAAAGGTACTATTGGATACTTATAGTAGGCAAGTGAATTTAAGCGAGTAAGTATGGTGTGAACATAAATATGTCCAAAAAATTAGGATGTCAATTTTAAAGTATTATAAAGAATGATAAAAATTTTTTTAACGTCAATGTGCAAAGGAGTATTTGGTTATTAAGACAAGAGTTAAAATGAATGGAATGTTATTAGCGTTAAATGATATTTGCTTGCAGTTATAGTTAGACCACCAAAGGCCTGCCGACAGCAACGGAACGCGATATTTTGAGTCTCGCGTGTCACGCAAGGATCGACGCAATCTTGTCTGGCTTATAACGTTATAACGAAAGATGATTATAGGTATTTTGAGGGAGAACGTTCAACGCGAAGCAACTGGTGTATTAAGAATAATGAAAATGCAACGACTGCTATTAAACTGAGATTAAGCCCACCTCACCGAGATCCGCCTCAAACTTAATCAGAGCTTAACCAGTGATCTAACTCAAGTTTAATCTTCAAGTGCCGTTGTCAAGGCTTTGAATATATTTATCGATACTACTTTACAATTCCATGATATTTTACTGAAAGGTTAACAAAATGCCTGAGAGATTGACATTGACTTAATTAGGATTCTGCCTGGAATGGATGTAAATACATAAGTGTCTTTGAGTTTAATAATAGGTGCACTGTCAAAGTCGAGTTACCTTTGCGAATGTACTATTTTGCAAATAGTAGCGTGTCATAACGATTTCCCGATCAATTTACAGGCCATACATTTATCGCGGCTACGAAAAGCGACTGGATGTATCTTTTCAGGGACAAATCAATGGAGTTAGCGAGCGGCGGTGGCCGTTTGATGTCGAGAAACAGCTCGACCCGTTGGATTCAGCTATCTGAACGTCGTCGCCGACGGCGGTGGCATCCTACCGCGATAACGCCATTATGCGAATTCGCGATTTGCATATTTCAGAAAGCGTTGCACAGGAAAGCATAAACAACTCCGTTCTCTCGCAACGAGAGCGCCGTGGCTTCCTCGTCAGAAGAGTTACACGCATGAAAGATTTACGGAGAGTGTACGTTTCCCTTTTCTTTCTCCTTTTTCCACTCTTTTTCCCTGTCTTCTTTTCTTTTTTTTTAGGGAACACTCGCACTTTGTATTCAGGCATAAATGCATGGCGACTCGAAATATGGGAATTGGTTGAATTCATGAAAAGGATCTTCGCGAAGGAACAAGTGGAAAAAACCGGTTTGTCGTTTTGCTAGATAGCAGTTTACAATTTTGAACAAATATTGTGACGAAGAGAACGCTGTCTTGAATCGCAAGGAGAATTTATGTTCCGTGCTTCGTTCGGTGTTCAAGACGATTTAACAATACGGTAACTCGCTGTTCAGTTTGATCTTACCACTTGGAAATTGTCTTCTAGCTAGTCTTCTATTAATAGCGGGGTAACAATGTAACGCAATACAATAATTTAGCGAAAAGTAATTATCTCAAATTTCGCGCTTATGAAAAACGGCGTGTGATAAGTTGAATATCTATACTATGTATTATATGTTTTTTTATTATTTTTCAGATCGCTTAACATTATCTTAACATTATGTATATCCCACTATACAACGTTTTCCGTATCGAATTCAGCAACGGTAAGAACGAGAAATACACGGGGATCATCGCGTCGCTGTTTTCCCCTGTATTTTAATGCGAGCAACCTCTTATCGAGACAACATGAAACGTTTCAGCGCTAGTTTTACCACGACAAGTGGCGGAACGCGCGAAACGCTTATATAAGTAATATAATTGATTCGTTACAAGCGCTTCTACACGACAGATAAGTTTATCTGCAACGCGCATCGACGAAACCGGTTAGATAACGAGCGGCGCTACATCATATAGTAAGCTTTAATTATTCGGATAATGAGACTCGCCGCGTCCCTCCACTGTCTAATGACAAATAGCGTCGACCCGACTTCTCGACCATAAGCCACCGTGGTAACATGTCGGAACTTCCGGAGGACGAATGACACCGATTTCCGGTGTCTCTTTATATCGCTGCCTCAGTTCTTTATTTTCGCGCTGTCTGTTTCAGCTGCGATTCTAATTTGTTCTTATTCAGATTCCAAAGAGCGAGTCGAGAAACAAGAAACCGTGCTTTATAGCTAGCTTATTTTATATGTTCAGAAACTTCGGTGTAATATGTTTTGAAAAATTAGTCTGAACAGCCGTATTATACGGGTGTAATTGGGGTAAAGGTTGGGGTGGTATTCTGGATCTAACGTACAGCGATCCCCTTGGACAAATGTCTTAGTTATGCCAATACCTCACTTATTAAAAGAGAAAACGATAAAGATAATCGTGTTATGATGTCACATGTGATGGTAAAAACCTGATACGATAACGAAGAAAAAAATCGTCGAGCAAAAGAACGGAACCCGTTCTCACCTGTTCGTCTTAATGAGCTACCATTATTAATAAACTCGTCACGCCGGCCAGCTGCGCCCGGATGAACCGCCTTTCCAGCACGAATTTCAATTTCCACGCGATACCGTAAAGCATCGAGGTATGAAAACTTCAGTGATTCGAGAAGAAGCGAATCACCGTGGAAGATCTTGAATGACGTACGCGGAGTCTCCGTCGAATTCCATACGAACCACGGTAAGAAAAGACTCGACTACTTACGTACGTTGACGTCGAGAGGAGATTGTTGTTGCATATCCAAGTTTCAGCGGATATTTACCTGTGTATCCTGATGGCCGAACTGCTGTCGAACATCGGGTTTTACAGCGGCAAGCAGCGCCCTATCGTGGCCATCATCGAGGTCCAGGATCCTGCGACTGGTTACACGCAAGTAGATGGATGAAGGTGGCTGGAACAAGGTGGCGGCTGATGGGTGTAAATTCGAGATACGATCTCCGGTGTCCCTTTCCAACAGGATTTACCGACTGCTGCGTCTTCTGGGCGCAGTTTTACTCGGTTTTTAATTATCCTTAGCTCCTGAGACAAAGGCATCCGCCGCGGCCGTCGCGTCGTCAGCCAGGTAACTGTCGTGCCTCTGCGGTACACCGGAGGATCCAGAAGGCTGCGGGAACCCTTGGAACTGGGACGTGACGTATCGGTCCTTGGAACCGAAGAATCTTGGGAATGAATCGATTAAATATGTAAATAGCTTTTCGAATTGTTCGAGAGGTTGTAGGGGGACGGAGGAACACGGTGATACAGAGATACACGCTGCAGCGTGTATTATTTTTTTTCGCTCGACCGAAGGGTTTAAAGAAACGTAGGAAAACTAGGATCTCGTTGCGAGAGCAGGACATAGAGGACATAGATAGGTGGGAGGCCTTTCGGTGACGAGGAGGTGCTGAAAGAAAAATCAAGAAGACGTCAACGGCGAACGAAAGGAGAAGCAGAATGGAGAAAATTATAGAATGAACAAGCTAGTTTTAGATTAATTTAAGTATCGTGATACATAATAGAGTTGTAAACTGAGCTCATCTCAGGGCTGTGAAGCTGAAATTAACGTTGTTTAGGATTATTTATGGGTGTTTGATGAAAATTGTATTTCCTTTATCATAATTTTTGCCGTTAATTGCATTGGCGATGAGTAGACGCTTGACAATAAGATGTTAATTGTCTTCTGGGCCGGTAGAACAAAGGGCCCTAGTAGAACTGCACTCGCAGAAACGAGAAAATGATTTATTAAGCTGTTTGCCGAAGCTACATCGCGAAGGGACATAAATTCAGACGGTACAAGAGTCAGTCCTGACGAAACTGTTTGCAATTTAGATTCCTCCGTGAAATCTGTGTCGGGTCTTCATACAGTTTCGCTAGGACGCTATAAAAGACGATCCTCCCGGGTCGCATTATCATTTTAATTGCTTCGTTTTGTGTCAAACCCTTTTTGCCAGATCCTTATCTCCGCGCCGGGACAAATTAGCACCCCGACTGTGTTCAGTTAAAACCTGTTCGTTGGAATCTGCAAATTACCTTTTCTGCCGCCTCGACGCAAAGGACACCGGACACATTCGAGTGCGCCTTTTACGCGAACATCTTGCGACAAGTGTTGCAAGTGCAAATTAGCAAATTTACCATTGAACGATCATGGAATCTTGCTCTGAATGCAAACCGTACAAGAACAACCGTACTATTTGCGGCTAGAAGCGCCCGTATTCTACGAAGAGTGACCTTAGCTCCTTGATTTCTGAATTATAGGATTGATTCTGGTATTGAAAAATGGACATTCATCTTGTTATCTTCTTAATCGAAGTAAATTCACGCACAGGATCTGCGAATTGACTTTTTCGCTGCTCTCCAAAAGAGGGGTCCAAAAGAGAGCGGAAGTGATGAATGGCGAAGGCAGGTCTTTTGAGAGCCGGTGATCTTTTCGAGCGAGAGGGGTACACGAAAGACACAAAGCGCCGCTATCCGCACCATCAGTGTCCGATACCAGGCTCAGGTGACACGCTTTCCAAAAGAGGTACCTATGCTGCCAGTACCTTTATTAAAGCGAAGACAAGACGGCCTCTGACACAGAGCCGCCAATGACAGAAAATATTTACAACGTCATCCTAGCTAGACTGGGCGTTTTCCTGACGGCGCCAGACTATCTTCTCCGAAGCTATTACGGTCGTTTCCCTTCCCTTACCTCGATTATAATACTTTACGTTATTTCTATCTGTTTCCATTAATCTATAACTAATAATTAATTAACTGAGCGAAATTCATGTCAGAATAATAATACTATTTTTATGTACATTCCGTAGGAAACAATTGGAATATAGAAGACACAACAAAATAGAACAGAAGCGTTGTCACAACTGTACGCGATTAACCAAATCCCGGGAGACTTAGGATCGTTCACTGCGGGAGCAGTTTATCAGGATTACGTCGAAAAATGATCCTATGCAGCGAACAAGAAGATACTATTCATCGGAAAGCCAGGAAATCCTTTGTCACAGATAATGGTACTCGAGCGAGACTAACCTAGGAAAGATTATCCACCAATTACTTGGTCCCTGTAAATCCTGTTTCTCGCGCGGTCAAGTCCGTATGCAATGAATTTCACGACAATTCGCGCGTAACTTGTAGTTAACCATTAGTAAATGGCTTCGTTTGGAAGAGGAATCCGATATGTTGAAAAATCTTCAAACTTTTTTCCTTCTCTTAGACGTTCAAGAAACGTACAAGGTTGTTCGAACAGTTGTGAAACTAGTGTCGATACTGTTGGTCGTAGAAGAGCTTCCGGCACAATGGCGGCTTCGATTTCCTGGTTATCGTTAATTACCGTGTTCGCTCGTTAATTCGCCCGTTGGTTCGCGATAGCGGTGAACGGGGGCAAAAGAAAAGTGGGAGACGACAAACAACTCCTACGAGGAATAACTTCTCATTTCCTACTTACTGTCAATTATTTGGTTAGAGAGCCAATTAGCTCGGCTTCTTGCGAGACGCTCGATCAACGAATCGAAGAACGTCTCTCTATTCCGCTTACGACTTAATTAATGCGAGCCTCGTCGTTTCATTGTTCTCGATATTTGCATGGTACCCGACTAGTCGTGAGTTATGCGCTTTATCTGTTCAAACATGGCGACGTATGCACGCAATTTTCCATTGTTCAGACGTACGTGGCATTAGCCGTATTTATCAAACCTTCGGATTTACCTGACTCATTAAATTACAAATATGCCATTCGATCTGTAATGTTCTCTTATTTTATTGCTTGAAAAAATATTTAAAATCTTTTATCGTAATCGAAAATTTATTCATCAGGAACGTTTAAAATTAGGAATTACTTAGGTGCGATAAGAAAGCGTGTTTTAATTCGAAAGGTAAATGTATCGTCGAGCGATACGAGCGATGATTCGTTACGTGAACGGGCAAAAGGAATCGTGCTGGTCGAGCGTAGCGAGTAATTCCGGGCCTCTTAAGTCCATCACTTCGCGGGACAGGGCTCCTGTTGGGTCTGGGGGGGCCGGCTTTCGAGGGCCCTAAACGCGGTTTAAGCGTAACCGATACCCCAGCGGGATACCGGCACCGGTTCGCTTTGTCTCCACCGTCGAAACGAAATTTCAACGATTGATAACGGAACCGTGCGATGAAGGACCGCAACCCGATTCCAACACGGGGCCCCGATTCCTTTTCCTGGGGCCCGCGCGTTCGTTATCGAGCGCGCGTGTCGTCTCGTGTACCTGGATGATCCTCCATATCGACGGTTCGATCAAAGCCAGCATGTCCGCTCGAATTCACTCGTGGGACACGGCTCCAATCGTGTTCTGGTGACATTAATCTGGTCAGATCGTGAGTTACCGTGCTCGAGCGAAGGAAACGCGATTAATTTGGCGCTGAGAAATCGTGTCCCTCTCCATGCTGTGAGAACGCGAGGAAGCTTGATCAAGAGGAACTAGAAAATAAAGACATACGGAATAGAAGAGCGGTGTTGAATTGCTAGTATACTGTTCATTTAGATTTGTTATTATAGACGGACAAATCAGGCCACCGACGAGTAGAAACATTCGAGAAGAGACACGATTTGGATTTGTACAATGTCTAGAGTATAACATTGAATAACCATATGATCGAATGGACAATTGTAGCAATACTTTAGAGTATAAAGTATCGAAAGCGCAATTAAATCGGGCGAAAGCTCGCGAGGGAGGCAAAATAGAGGAATCGAGTGACCATCGCTACTTGCGTGGCCCAGTGGAAGAGCCTGGGAGAGACGGTGGCGCCAAGGAGATCCGTATCTTGGCGCGGGGCACCGAGAAAGGGCCCCAAGCTTCCCCACCAGCGGCAGCCCTCGTCAAAGATAACATCTGATTCCGAATCGTCCGTTCGCTCGTGTAGGCTTCCATGTAGCCCGACTCGTTTTCTCGAGCCCGTACGAATGTCATCGTGTTCGCTTCTTACAAGCGGAACGGGCGGCGGAGGGGCCCTCTTTCAGGCCCTCCCTCGGTATACCCCCATCCTCTTCGTCAGCGCCGAATTAACGACCGTGCCGGCAGCATGCTACGGCTACGAGATCGAGATTAATTGCGAGCCATGAATCGAAAGAAAAGCTCGATCGACTGGTCTGTATTCCGATCGACTGTCTCCAGGAGCTTCCTTTAATTTATTAGTTAATTTGGAAATGCTCGATATACCGGGCCCCGAGATACGAGCGGACATCTGAGAGCTTGTTGTTCTTTTGCATTCGAATCGAACGAAAGTAATGGAAAGGGTTTATTTAAAAAGATTCGATAACGCGCGTAGCGCACAGGTGTTCCAAAATGCCATCGACATGTAATCGGTTTCAGATTTTGAAGAATCGATTCGCTCGTTGGATCGCGATTTTACGCTCCTCGACGCGTGCTACACGATCAAAAGCTTTCACGAATCACTGGCTAAAGATTCGAAGGTTATACGACACTTGAACGATTATTATTGTCGTTCTGGCGTATCATTTGTCGAAGCAACGTTTCCACGAAGTACGAGAGATCTTCGTAGGCGCGGTCGACAAAAAGCGAGCGCCGCTCGAAAAAATCAAGCATTTGTATTCCGCGGAGATTTTTCAACGGCGACCGGACAGTTTTCTCATTTCGTTTATGGCTGGCCGTAACATAACTCCGGGACCCACTACCGTTGTCCGGCCAGCACCACCAATACCACCACCAGCGCCACTGTAAAAATTTTGACCGGACGAACTACGAGATCGGACAACTTTGCGTGGGTGAAATGGAGCAGCATCCAGGGAACACTTCGCTCGGGAAGATTTGATACGGTTGTTCGTTACATTCGAGATATCCGTATTAAAGAAGATACGAGTCCCAATGGATATAAACGCTAGCGTCTTTCGCGGATCCATCGGAACCCCATCATTTTTGATGTCGGACATATTTTTCAGCGTTGGTGCAAAACTATTCATCGACGTAGGAGCATTTCGTTTTCGAAAACAAAACGGCCAGTCTCGAGCCGAGTGGCTCGCTACAGAGACAGGTTCACGCTAAATGGCGGTCAGACGAGGCATGTCACGCGCCACGGGGTTCCTGGTCAAAGGCGCCGGCGATCCTGCTAACCCCTTCCATTTCGACCGTCCCTGTTACCCCTTTTCCTTCGCCAGGCATTCATTTTCGGAGCCTCGGTATGCGGCTACGATATTCTAATGGCGTCAGCGGTTGCGTTACGCGGTTGCTCGTCTCGAAATGGTGAGATAACTCGATATTTATCAGCCAATCGTGTTGCCACCCAATCCCTTTTTACCGTCTGTTGCTGGATGTTCACGTGCAAAAAGAAAATGATCGTTATACGTTCCCGAGGAAATCCGGGAGGTTGATACCACGATGGGATAATTGGAACGTGACAGCCATTGAATGGATATTTTGAGAATAGACATCAGTTTGGTGAAAGAGCGGAAAAAGCAGGTGAATCGTACATGGATTCGAGAGGAGCTCGATAAATTTATCGAATTTCCTCGCGAGAAAAGAAACGAACGATCCTAATAAGACCTCTTACCGTAGAATAAAATTCAGAAGTCACCGTAATTACAAACTCGCGATGTAATGGAAATAAATATAAGCATCGTAGCAGAGGCAAAAAATGCTTGGCCACAAATTCAGCATCGGTTTGGTGGTTTATCGAGGCAATTTACAAATTGGCTTCCGTTCCAAGCAGTCAGGATGTTTCTTAGACGGTCAGAAATGATTGGACCTCGCTGGACGAGGCATCGTTTATTCGAGCTTGCTTCTGCGAAGGGCTTCTATTAGTATTTTTACCCTCTCCTCGCCATCTTCGTTCGTATTGGATAGCATATGGTTAGCTGAAATCTCTTGAAAGCCCATTAACATAATCTCGATCTGCACCTGCTTCAGGAAAAATACGAAAAGAACGATAGAGCACGTTCTTGATCTAACAATTTCTTTCTATTAGGCTGTTGCATATCGAATAGTGAATTTTCAAACGCAGAATCTTCATCGCGATTCGACGAGATAAAAATAGTAGCAGCAACTTGACGGACATTATGAGCCCACTTCACCCCCCAAGAAGGTCACCGTGAAAACAGAGCACGTTCAGAACATTATAACCGCAACCAACAACCTTGTTTAACGATGTCCACATCCAGACCGTTTAACCATCGAATCCCTTTTTTCAAGGGTAAGCCGATTTTATCTGAAATCGATGCTTTCGTCGCGCGAGCGCGTTCGTGCTTCTTTCACAGGGTCGCTCGCGTCCACCCCCTGATCCCGTCGCTTTTTCTCGTGGGGCCGACATAAATATGGGAAGATTAATACGCGGCCCACAAATCCCAAACAGGCCGTAGTTTATTGTCTGATACATCTGCGGGCCACCGCGGGATCCGCGTAATAAAACCACCACGATCGTCCACGGTATCTCGTCTTGGAACCGGATCGAATGTGTGACAGACTGCCGACAATATTGCGCATTCCTGGCCGTCTATGAATTCGCCTAGGAGCTTTGCTCACCCCTCTTCCTCCCCTTCTATGCTGGTTTACCGTGCTCCCGTCTATTTGTCAGAGAAACGTCCGTCAGGGGTGATTCTTCGATCTTGCGCCGCTTATCGGCACCATGACGAATCTTTGCTCGGATTTTATCGAATTTCGCTTCGTGCGGCTTCTTTTCGTCACGCGTTAGCTTATATTGCTTGTATCTGGAGCAGCCAATTAATTTTCACATCCGTAAGGGAGAAATTGCCCGTTCGAACGGGCGTTCGTTGAAAGTGGATTTTTGATCGTTGCGCAAGGGTTATAAATCGTAAGTTCGTGATTCTTTCGTTTTTAGTACAGCAACAACAACGCGCATAACAATTCCGCGTATACGTCCATAGGCAGGGTGTAACCTGATGCAACAGTCTCGTCTTCTAGTCGGTGCAACCCGCTCGCAGATGCTTGCCTCTTTCCCGAGGCTGTCTCGGCGTTGGTACAGATTGATTTACCGTCTAGCTTTACTCACCCACGGTACGTCTGTTCTAATTGCAGACCGTTTCCTGGTACACACCCCCTGATCTTCCCACCTGCAATCGGCCTACGCGATGCTTCCGCAAGATAACGTGCATAACAAGATATTAAAACATCATGTTGTTAACGAGTAAAAAATTCGTTGCGACTGAGTAGATGTGACTTTTTGATAGCTGTGCA